CCTCCTTTCCTCCTTCCCTCCTTTCCTCCTTCCCTCCTTTCCTCCTTCCCTCCTTTCCTCCTTCCCTCCTTTCCTCCTTCCCTCCTTTCCTTCCTTCCTTCCCTCCTTTCTTCCTTCCTTCCTTTCGTCCTTCCCTCCTTTCCTCCTTCAATCCTTCCCTCCTTATTTCTTTTCTTCCTTCCTTCCTTCCTGCCTGCCTGCCTGTCTGCCTGCCTGCCTGCCTTCCTTCTTTCCTTCCTTCCCTCCTTTTCTCCTTTCCTCCTTCCCTCCTTCCCTCCTTCCCTCCTTCTCTCCTTTCCTCCTTCCCTCCTTCCTTCCTTCCTTCCTTCCCTCCTTCCTTCCTTCCCTCCTTTCCCTCCTTTCCTCCTTCCCTCCTTTCTTCATGGTCATTTATTTTTTTTTGATGCATTTTTATTTATTTTTGATGCATTTTTATTTTTTTTGATGCTTCTCCCACTTGCAACCCCATTTACAATGCGGGAACGATCCTACAGTTGCAAATCACAATGGAATTCTGTCGACCGCACATGCACGAAAAACAGGTGAAACCCCATTTACAATGCGGAACCGATCCGAGCATGATCCGCCCATGATCCGACCACACACGAGACCGTCTCGCAACCGTCGCACCGCAGAGGTAGATCATCGAGGTTCGGGGACGGACTTTGTATGGAAAAACATAGGGTTTCGTGCATCTGCTATCTCTCAAAAACGCATTTCGTGCGAGACTTCCTTCAAAACTCCATCGGCAACTCCTCCACCAGCACCACTTGCAATGCCATTTACAGTGAGGGAACGATCCTAGAGTTGCAAATCACAATGGAATTCCATCAGCAACTCATCCACCAGCACCACTTGCAACCCCATTTACAATGCGGGAACCATCCTACAGTTGCAAATCACAATGGAATTCTGTCGACCGCGCATGCACGAAAATCAGGTGACACCCCATTTACAATGCGGAACCGATCCGAGCATGATCCGCCCATGATCCGACCACACACGAGACCGTCTCGCACCCGTCGCACCGCAGAGGTAGATCATCGAGGTTCGGGGACGGACTTTGTATGGAAAAACATAGGGTTTCGTGCGTCTGCTATCTCTCAAAAACGCATTTCGTGCGAGACTTCCTCCAAAACTCCATCGGCAACTCCTCCACCAGCACCACTTGCAATGCCATTTACAGTGAGGGAACAATTTCTTTGCTAACTCTTTCTGTGACTAACTCTTTTCCTCACTAACTCTTTCTTTGACTACCTTGTTTCTTTGCAAACTCTTTCTTTGACTACCTCAAATATCCTGACTAACTCTTTCTTTGACTGACTCTTTCCCTCGCTAACTGTTTCTTTGACTAACTCTTTCCCTGACGAACTCTTTCTTTGCTAACTCTTTCTTTGACTAACTCTTTCCCTGACTAACTGTTTCTTTGCTAACTCTTTCTTTGACTAACTCTTTCCCTCACTAACTCTTTCTTTGACTAACTCTTTCCCTGACTAACTCTTTCTTTGACTAACTGTTTCTTTGCTAACTCTTTCTTTGACTAACTCTTTCCCTGACTAACTCTTTCTTTCCCTGACTAACTGTTTCTTTGCTAACTCTTTCTTTGACTAACTCTTTCCCTCACTAACTCTTTCTTTGACTAACTCTTTCCCTGACTAACTGTTTCTTTGCTAACTCTTTCTTTGGCTAACTCTTTCCCTCACTAACTCTTTCTTTGACTAACTCTTTCCCTGACTAACTGTTTCTTTGCTAACTCTTTCTTCTGACTAACTCTTTCCCTTTCTTTCTTTGACTAACTCTTTCTTTGACTAACTGACTAACTGTTTCTTTGCTAACTCTTTCTTTGACTAACTCTTTCCCTCACTAACTCTTTCTTTGACTAACTCTTTCCCTGACTAACTGTTTCCCTCACTAACTCTTTCTTTGACTAACTCTTTCCCTGACTAACTCTTTCTTTGACTAACTCTTTCCCTCACTAACTCTTTCTTTGACTAACTCTTTCCCTGACTAACTGTTTCTTTGACTAACTCTTTCTTTGACTAACTCTTTCCCTCACTATCTCTTTCTTTGACTAACTCTTTCCCTGACTAACTCTTTCTTTGACTAACTCTTTCTTTGCTAACTCTTTCTTTGACTAACTCTTTCCCTGACATTCTAAAAGTCCGTAACACGGAAGTTTCTCCCCCTAAACTTCCTTTGATTATTAATTCTTCATCTATATTATCTTTCATATTGTAAAAATATATGGTTCCAACAGGTTAAGGACTGACAGCTCCATCTTCAACACGGCGGAGCTGTGTCTTGGGCATGTTTCACATGTTCAGAACTGCTACGTAGACAAGTTACTTGTTCTTGCTTGTGGTGGGATGAACCTGGTGATGAAGATTATTATGAAAATGATCGTGAAGGCAAACATGATCTTGAGGATGATGTTAATGATGAGGATAAAGAACAATGCTACTGCGGACAATACAAACGAGGTGGAAACTACTGTGAATGACGATGCCGCTGACAAAAATCAGGATGGCCATTGAGAACAGTTACTGAATGGTAATGATATGACTACAGCTGTCATGATAACAATGACAATAGCCACAACAGGGAGGATGTCAAGGATGGACTTGGTGGGAGTTGAAGCGGGGGGCCTCGCTAAAAGAAGGAATCCCTACATATTTTGACTCAGGCTACTGTCAAATCGAACTCAGATAATCCTGGGTAACCCCCAGGTTACCTGCCTTTCATGACGTTTGCAGCCTTTGAAGATGGAAATGTGTTCAGTGACTTAGTGCAGCTTTCAATGCATCCAAGTGACTGTACAGCTACAAAGAGATGATGTGCTTCCTCTTGAGCCCCGGATTGAGAGTCCTTGGTTCAGTCCCAAAGTCCGAAGGCCGGCGAAGCAGGCAAGGACTGAATACTAAGTAGATCTAAGCAGATCTAAGTAGACTATGCAAACTTGACATGTCAGATATGTCACAACGATTCCCAATGTCTGCGAAGACAAGAAGCGCTTCTTTGCAATGGTCCTGGCCAGTCAACTCTGTCAACATCTGTCAACTGAACGAAATCCTGAGGACTGAATGTAAAAGCTACTCTGTTTTAACCACGATCCGTCTCCAAGGATTGCTCAAATACCCAATTCAAACTCGGTCACCTACGTTCTTCTGCGCCACCAGCCCGCCAACAGTTGATCTACAGGAATTTCCTATCTTTGGGGTGCCACTCTGCATGTGGGTCCTGAGTACTGAGAAAATGAAATAAAGGCGGAACCATACCTTGCATCTGTTGCGCTTCGCTTTGCTCTTAAGTTCTTTTGTATTGCATCTGCGTTGTGAACTGAATAAATTACTCAGCAGTTCTTCTGAATGATGCTAGATGCACTGACAGGTTTATTGCGTAGTCAACCACTTCAATACTCTGTTTTAGCAGGGGAAAACATCTTCATCAATTGAACTCTTCCCCTACCCAAGAGGAGACCTCAAGCATCTCGGCTTGCAGTGTCTTTGGACATCTTAGAATATTATAGAATATTTAGATATATTTAGATCTTGTTTTGCACCTTCCCAATGACGGAGTCCTTCCATTGGTCCAGGCTGAGGCAAGGCTCCACTGAATGTCCCAAACTGGACAAAGCCTTTCCGAGGTTCAACAGACTTCACTGCCGCCCTTCCGGCGATATCAAACAATGCTCCAAACAATGAACATCAAATAACATCAATGAGTGACTCTGAGTGACTCTGAGCGTTGACCTTACCGTGCCCTGGGACATCCCGGACATCCCGGGACACTCGAATCTTGTGCAGCTCTTGGTCCAATCCAATCCCATCCCGGTCCAACCCCCCAGGGAGACGTCATTGGAACGAACAGAACGGACAGAACGAACGACTGGCCGCCACCGGCCGCAGGCTGCCACGGGCCGCCAGGGGCCGCCTGGCCTTTGCCGCCTGTGGTGGAAGGCTGGACGCTGCTGCCTGCTCAATCCAGCGGTCCGTTGCCTCAGCGAACTCTTTGAACTCTCAGATCACATGCAGCATGAAAAACTTAGCGACTTAGTGTTCTCTGTCAAGATTAGCCACAATGGAATTTTCCGAAATACCAATCTTTCAGAAACACATCATTTAGCTTTGTCAAAGCTGTCCTGAATATGAAACCAACATCTGATTAAAAAGACGATTGTTTCCGTCTCATTGACTTCCCCAATAACTTGGAACTGCACGCTGGTGTCCCATAGCTGTCCTTCGTGAAACTTGCGACCTGCGCGAGCAAAAGGCACCTTGTCGACCCGTTGATCCTGGTTGATTTGTAGCTGGAATTTCTATGAATTTCTGTTGAAGAGTTGAATATGGTAAAAAGGTCGTGCTCCGATTGTGTACGGACCAGAGCCTGTCAAGTGATGGAGAGAGGTTACCGCCTCCTGGCTCGGAGCGTTGTGAATACGATCCAAGTGAACTCTAGACTCCACGGGACTCCACCAAACTGTTGTTTTGCGTGTTGGCTGTGTTGGATCTTTAAACATCTCTCTTGAAACATCTTGAAATGTAGAATTCATCTCCGTGCCTCACTTTCAGTGTCCACGGTACTGTCGCTGGTGCTGCTCGCCATGCTACGACCGCTCTCGCACGTCAAAGGTCTTGCCTGTGCAAGGGACAAACAACAATGAAAACAGGTCATAAAATCAGTCATACACATTTTTATACCAAACGTTCCTTTTGCATTTTCATACTATGCACATATATTTCATGCTGAATACGGATGAATATTTAGATTAAAGAAAAAATAGCAAGTACTTTTGAGCTGAATGGAAGATCTGGAAGATCCCGACCGTCATAGCACCACGGCAGCCAGGGTAGAACCGGAATGGATAGGTCCTTAGACTTTCCGCTTAGCAGTGCTTAGCAGTGCTTAGCAGAAGATTTTTTTCTTTCGAAATATGAAAACTGCTCAATGAATTGACACTGTGCTGAGCTGCTGGTGATGGCTGGTGCTCTGGGTCTCCCAACTCGTGGCCTTTCAAATCTCGACGAGTACCGCCGTATCGAGCCTTGCAACTCTGTCCGAGCCAATAGTGATGACAGTGATGGGATTTTTGACTATATATATATATATGTATATAAATACATATGTATATATCTGTATATATGTATATATTTGTATATATACATATATATATATATGTATATAAATATATTTATATATATATATAGATATATAAACATATATATATATATGTATATAAAATATTTATTCCTCTAGCTCATGTCTATATCAATAGATAGATAGATCGATAGATAGATAGATAGGTAGGTAGGTAGATGGATAGATAGACAGATAGATAGATAGATAGATAGACAGATAGATAGATAGGTAGGTAGGTAGATAGGTAGGTAGGTAGGTAGATAGTCAGAGAAAGAGAGAGAAAGAGAGAGAAAGAGAGAGAAAGAGAGGAGACCTCAACCACCTTTCGGTCCATCAGTGGCTTCGCTCTGCCATCCGTGATTCACAACAACCAACCTCTCCTTTTTCGGTTTCCTATTTTTGAAACTTCCGCCACCGCCTTGTGCGGTACTAGTGGTATGTATAATTATGTCTATACATTGTCGATCTATGAACCTGGATCTGGACAGGCGATGGCACAGATATATATATATATATGTTTATATATATATACTGCAAGTTGACACTTCTAAGCACTTCTAAGCACTTCTAAGCAGTCTCAGTGAAGTTCTGTTTCAAACAGGACAATGATCTCGAATCTAGTTGGACTAGTTGGATCTTGAATGATTCAATCTCTGAAGCTCACTTGATATGACTGTAGTGAGAGATGATGCTTCTCTCATTGGGGAAGGCTACCTTAAAGAATCACACCTAAAGCAGCATCTTTGCTGCTACTTTGATTTAACCAAATTTAACCTGGGAAAACAAGACGGAGTAGACGTTGTCTTTTTGTGTGCTTTCACAATCTTTCATGTGCCTCTAACTGGGATGGCTCGAAATACTTGAGCAGCTCCTTCTTGTAATCCTCAATTTCGATTCCAAACTCAGCTGCGAAGTGCACACATGCTGATGTCGTGGTGAAACACTTTGAAGTCTAGTATGTCATACTATGTCATACTATGTCATACTATGTCCACTATGTCCATGACTCCATGCCGCTGTCCTCAATCGCACTAACCTTCTTCTTTTTATCCGCAGGGATGACACTTTGAACGATGCGACTGAGGATGGTCGGCCTCGCGCGGCTGAACGTCAATGAGAATTTCATAGCACAAAAAGGACATGAAAAAAGTAACCAAACTGCGCAACGTGCAGTCCTTTGCTTTTGGCAGTGCGTCACAGAACGCTATCACATGCTATCACATTGCAAACCTGGTTTCTCGCTTGGCTAGTCAAAGGGACTAAGGCGCCAGCAAGTTGAGTAGTTTGACCCAAACCTCTGACATCAGACTCACACTTCAACGCACCGAAGGTACCAGAGTTCGTACCAGAGTTCGTACCAGAGTTCGTACCAGAACGACAGCGACTGAGAGCGACTGAGAGCGACTGGAGACCAAATCTGCTGCGAAAGCTTCCACTGAGCTGCCGTGCCATGCGACAGCAGTAGACACTTTCTAATGTTTGCGACAAAGCCTTTGCAGTCAGACCTGCAAGGCAAAGCTGGCAGTCCCACGACCCACGCACTCATAATTCACAAGATATGACAAGATATGTTGAATCACACAAGGCACGCAAGTCAAAGCATGACAAGTCACAGATCTCTGAGAGTCAGACACATTGTCGGTAGCTGATAGAAGGACATGATGTCAGAAGCATTCTCAAAATCCACCAGCACTACCTGTTACATCTGGAAGTTCAGGCGATGCTTCTAAATTTCAAAACAACTTGCAGGATGAAAACAAGTAGAGATAAGTAGAGACTTTAAAAGTCTTGATCTCCCTATCTCGGGTACTTGACGTATACCTAACACACTTGAGACCTGTTGAGAACAGTTGGGACAATCGGTGCGACATGCCGGGCAAGCCCAATTCTCCACTCGGCCAGGCACCTTGGGTTTCAGCTTCATTACCCATTACATCCCATTACATCCCATTCCATCCCATTACCGTATTACATCGTAGTACTTCATTCTCGATTCATTACAGTATCAAGTCTTCATCAAGTTAAAGATCGAGACATCAATGTGCCTCAGGTGGCTGAGACTGCAAGTGGGTGCCCCGGCCATGGCAAAACGAAGAGCGTATTCCAAGACAAAAATGGTCATCCTGATACATCTCTCCCTTTCCTGGCGCTCAAAAGTACAAGAAACATGCTGAGTTTGATTTTGTATGAGAAGGTTTGAGAAAGTGCGGCTTTCAGGTTGCTCGAATTCCAAGGAATCTCTCAAAACATTCATGCTTTCAGCAAAGCCATGAAACACGAGTTTCCGTCCTTGATAAGCTCTGCAAAGCGTTCAATTCGCACTACAAGGCAGGGCCGACATTTGCGATCCCGTCCATGCCAGTACCTTGAATTGACCAAAGTTGACTCTGTTGACTCTGTTGACCATGAGATGTTTCAGTAGCTGCAAGGACGTTTGTTGGGCCGTCTCGATGCCTACGTCTCCGGTCAGCATCTCACAACACGTCTTAAGCACGTCTTAGATTTCTTAGTCTATTTTGAGTTCACACGGCGTTTCCAACCAGCACTTCTATCACTTCTATAATTTCTTGCAGGTGAAAGGTATTGAACGCCATGATTTTCCCTAAATATCCCTAAATCAAAGTGGCTTACCATGTTGCCATATGTTGCCTTTTCCTAGCTCTGGTCCGACTCTTTACTTCTTTCTGGCTGTCTGCTGGGTCTTTTCCGGGTCTCTTTGCAAACATTCAATCCTGCTCCTGTGCTCCCGCATTTCCTGCTGTTTCCAGGTTTCCCATCTTGTTCTCGCAATGTTTGAAATCATTTCATTGCTGTGAAAGCATGCCCTAAGTCAGCTAGTGGCATAGAATTCCTTCTTTCTTGAACTCCCACAGCACACGGTCCGGTTACACCAGTCCATTGTGCATACCTTTACCCGCAACACAGGAACACACACACACACAGAGTTTTGTGGACAAAGTTTCTGGTTGGAATGCTGAAGTGTTTCATAACGAGATCTTGTTTTCGATGATTCAAGTCGTGACCCTTGCCCCGCAAAATCAATGGCTGGGTTTCGAACATTGCACCATAGCTGAGGTCAGCCAGCAAATCCTCCTAGAGCGAATAGATAGAACATGATAGAACAGTACCAAAAAAACCATAGCACCTGCCATAACAAACCAATGATTTTGTATCAAACTGTTTGTCAAACGGTTGGACGGACCTGGACATATGATTCAAAGTCATCGCGATATTGGACAGACTTACAGGTTGTCTCATGTTGTCTCTTATCACTGCCTTCTTGGCAATCTTTGGGGGTTTCCCACAAAAGTCGTCCGGGTGTATTTTGTACCGCAAAAAAATGCAACCTTCATTCCGATTTGACGACTATTTAATTTCCTTAACTTTAGGATCTTCAAACATCTTGTGAAACATCTTGAAACTGAAAGAATTGACCTTGGAATTGACCTTGGTATTTCCAGCAGCTGTGGATAGCATGCTCCAGCCTCTCGCAGCGGCAAACGCCTCACTCGCTCCTTGGCACGAAAACGATACTATTTGAAATATATCAAAGTGACATAAAGTGAAGCTATATTAGCTATATATATATATCTCTCGAATATTCTCGAATCATCTCAAATGATCACTGTGAAATACTGTGAACCTGAGTGTGAAGTTCGTGAGACTTAGGAAAGTGTCGTCCAAGCAAGTCTGCACGAGGTCCATTGCCCGGGAAGGGTCGAACCTGGCGATTTTGACTCGGGGATATCGTGGGTACTTGGCGGTACTTGGTGCCTTTCTGCCTTTCAATTTCAGCTTTACAACATGTGCATGGTGCCCATAATGGTCTTTTAACATGTTCTCCAAATTGGCTTAGCAACTTGTTTCTATGGACGAACACACAATCTCTCTCTCTCTATATTCAGTGTCTACCCCCTCAAGATTGGATATAAGCAAGTATACTTGCAGTGGCGGCTTGCGTGCGCAGTGTCGCAGTGTTTGTGAAATTTGGGAATGACCGCACAAAATAAGAGCCAAAATCAACCATTTTCAAAAGACATCCGGACAATCAATAGAAACATGAAAACATATGAAAACATGACACTATCAAGTGCTTTCATTTCAGTGAATCTTTGAACATCACGATTTTGGCCTCTTGTGTTGCATGATCCGCAAAGCAGAAAGCCGAATGAACCTCACAAGGAAATCCCGCGGCATGAAGCAGAACAATAATAACAATATGAGCAATGCTCTCAGAGCAATGCGAGCGGAAATGGCATCGGAAGCTCTGAAGCTACGTGCCAAGAAACAACATCGTTTCGGATGGCTGTTCGCGCGCGAATTGAATTCGTGATCACTGCCCCACCCCACCCCATGGTGTCGCGAACCCCTGCGTACACTGGCAAATATTACATACAAACCGCCCTGCCCTGCAGTACTGCGTCTCTTTCAGTGCGCGCGGACAAGGGTCTGGAAGGAACAACATAGCAGTCATAGCAGTGTCAAATATATGGTGTGAATGGTGCCGTTTCTTTTCGTTTGTGTTCTCGTGCTAGCGCATCACACATTGCCATCATTAAAGGGTACATCTTTACCTTCGAACAACTTTTTATGGAGATATTCCTGCACTGCAAATTTCTGATGCACATATTTGGTGGGTAAGGGTGGGTCAAACGCACTTGTTGCTACTCCACAATGTTTGGACCATGCTGTGTGTGGTAGGGTTGGGGGAGAGGGCGGGCTGACTGCGCAGTTGTACTCTGTGGATGCCATTTGCTTCATTTTTGAACTTACACATGCACTTGCTGAGACATGGAAGGAAAAAGAAACCGCTTGGGTGCCAACTCGGGCAGTTCATCTCGACCTTTTCCACGGCGCCTTAGACTTTGGATTTTCAAAGCCTTTTAGGTTTCAGTCTCTCAAGGCAAGGATGTTGAACATAGGATACATAGGGGTAACCCATAGGTAATTTGATGTAATTTTGGTACCGCCTGATCAGCCTGATCAGCCTGGACAGCTGAAGATTCAAAAAATCGAATCCGGCAGTTTTTCGAAGCTGGAGTCCCTGCATCCACTCCTTGCGCAAGGCCACAAGAGCATCCACCTGGGGACAGGCCACGACTTGGACAACTTCCACTTGTTGGTAAAAAAACTGAAAGACCATGAAAGAACAACTTCCAACAAAAACTTGACATGTTAGATACATAGAGATACATAGAGATACATAGAGATACATAGAGTACATGGAGTACATGGACTGTCAGAGAGGCGACTAATGCGCGCTTGAACTTGAAATCTCCCTTTAAGGATGTGAAACCTGCGAAATAGGCTTGCTTTGGTGCTTGACTAAAGTCGTTTCGTGTTCGTTTCGTGGTCGTTTTGCTCGTTTCTCAGTTCGAAAAAGCAGCCTCTGACGGCAGGAGTGGCGTGTTCAGGAAAATCAGCCGTGAGCCATGCCGAGCTGGCGAGCGTGGCGAGCGTGGCGAGCGTGGGGAGCGTGGCGTGGGGGTCTTCAAATGACCGAAATCATCGAAATATCATCGGATCATCGAAATCCTGAAGGCTTAATGCTGGAATCCTGAATCCTGGAAGATCCTGGAAGATCCTGGAAGAAGAATTGTTTTTGATCCTTGCGATGCGTTCGAACACACAAGTTGTCCAAGTCTCAGGCCATTAGATTCTGCAAACATTTCCTCCTCTGTGGGCTCAAAAAGCACCTGTGACTTCGAAGGGTGAAGGCCATTGACCGAAGGATAAGAATCAAAAGTCTCCAGATCCATGAGAAAACATGAGCAAACAACACAACTTCAGTTCCTTTCAGTTCCTTTCAGTTCCTTCAATTTCTTCACGTTAGACTTCACCTTTCCAAAATGATGCCAAGATGCCACTTCTTCAGGCAACAAATGCTTGCCTGATGTCGCTTTGGGCTGCTACGCTATGCTACGCTGCTCCTACTATTTCGTCTCTGAAACATTCTGAAACATGTGCAGGACTGGTGGTGCAGGACTTTGATTCCCTCTGAATTCCCGTTTTAGTAAATTTTAGTATCTTAGCCATCTTAGCAGTCTTAGCATGTGACATGCCTGTGCAATCCCCGAAGTTGTCTCCCTCTCTCTCTGTGATGAGATCTACTTTTGCCCGGTTGCGGCTGAGTGGCTATGTTCCTGCTGCAGCTCCACACAACCGCCCATGCAAGGAACCTTCATAGGATCCTGCCACACTCAGTAAGCCTAACAAGCTAAAGTGGCTCTAAGATGCTAAGATGAGCTGCATAAGATGCGCTGCATAAGATGCTATAACTTGGGCTATAACAAGTCACCAAAAAGCCATCGGCTGATCATCGGCCAATTGAATGCGACAATGTGACCTGATTTTCGTTTTCCGTTTTTTGGTAAGTCAAGGGGCTCCACAGAATGCTCCACGGATGTCCTGTGTAAAGAGTGCCGTGGACTTCGCCGCTGGCATTGGAGGCACTACCTGCGCTCTGCGAACGTGTACAGCGTGTGGCAAGAGATGCAGAATTTTCAGAGAAAATTCAGAGAAATCAAAGTTTCGTTAGATTCGACTCTTGTGACTCTCGTGAGTTTCGTTGTTGAAATGCTCCAGCGGCCTCTGATAATTCCTCCAAGTCAGTGCAGTTGCTTTGACTCCTTTTTCTGCCTTGCAATGACCCGTGGCCAAGTGAGTCAAATGGGGCAAAACTCTTTGAGTAACGATGCACTAAAAGGAATGATATCGTACCTCAGAGATTGCCCAGAAATTCACAATTGTACATAGCCCATAAATCTAAGCCAAATATGAAATACACGGAACGGAATCTGGCCATGGCCAGTGAGGGATGAAATACTTGAGAATGCCAGGATCCCCATGGCCAGTGTTTCCAAAGCCTTTCATTGTTTTGGCCCACGACAATGCAGCAATGGCTGGTGTATTTGCTGAAGTTTTTGCAGGTGTGGGCGGTCCAAGTCAGGCTCGAGAATTCAGAATGTTTACGAAACATGTTTTTCAACATACGAAAGATTGCTTCAGATATTGCTTCAGATTGCTACTCGTCATTCCTCGGCACAGATTGAGGTGACGGCTTCTGGAGGTCACATTGGAAAGTGCTCGCCGAATCCATCTCTGCTTCGTCATAGCCTCGTGGCAAAACTCTTCACATCTCTTGACATCTCTTGACAGTGGACAAGGAACCTTTCCAGTTAACAAAGAAAAACAGTATAAAACAGTAGAAACTGGTAACAACAAATAGCAGTTGGATGCAGTTGGCATGAGGCCAACGGGGAAAATGCTCAGCCTCACTCAAGTTCTGTTTAGGTCAGGGATTTAGACATATTTAGACTCTAAAAACTTCGCAAATTCTGCTCAGATCCCAGCAGTGACGAACTCACGTAACTAATGAATGAACTGTTGGCCATTGTTGGCCACAGCGTTCGAGCCAAAAGAATCAAAAGAGATATTCGAAAGTGCGACTTGTGACCTCGTCTTCCGAAAACGGTCCCAAACTACTTCTCTACTTCTCCATAACATTCCATAACATTCCATAAGATCTCAAAATAGCAACTAAAATGGCAACCAATGTTCTGGAATCAAAGGCTTCATGATGTTCTGGTTCTTTCAGTTCTCCACTAGTCCCTACAATGAGCGACCGGACACGAGCATCGGTTTGTGATGTGGTCAATCGGATGGTTGAAGGGAGGTCGTACGGATTGACTCGCGCAGACTACATAATGACATTATCTTTGTGGTTTCTGTGGTTTCTTGGAGACTTACCTAATCATGCTTTTGTTCATATTACCTACTGTTAAAAACACTCTTTGAAATCTCCATCATTCTCTATCCATGCTCCTACAAGCCCAGCCTTGGGGTTCGACGCGCTTCCACTGAAGGATTTGCTCCAAACGCCAAAGTCTGCAGCTCGGAGCTCCGCTGAACGCAACCAGAATCAATTTGTTTGATATTTGAGTAGAAGCAAGGCCGATCACGAGAGTAGTGATGACAACTTTAGACAACTGGTGAAGAGGACAAGCAAACAAATGAGGGGACAGGACAAATCTGCTCCTCGCAATGTGGAACGACCGCTTTGGCAGGGCGTTTTGCGTCTCAACTACTCAGAACTGACAACTTCAAAGGGTTCAAAAGCGTTCAGAAGAAACATAGAAAAAACAGCTGCTTATGCCATGGAGCCATAGCTTGCATCCAGCTTCTTCCGTCTGGAATTCCTTGCTGCTCTTCACAGCCAGTCTGTGGATTTTGTTACGGTGTTGTTCACTGTTACAATCTGTTGCATGTACCATCGCAAATGATGGTGTTTTGATTTTGCTGCGTACATTACCAAAATCACAATGTTTACATCTGCCCGAGAAGACAAACACGCTTCGAAATCACCATCATCGCATGCAAAACTGCTGGGTATCAGGTCATCGGTACTCTACTATTTTTCTTTTTAGCTTCGCATACTTAAAAAGTGAACTGGTAGCAATTCAATGCAAACTCTGACATCTCTGACTCAATTCAAACATATTCAAACTGATCACGACTCTGGGTCTAAAGCCAGCTTGATCCGCTTGCGTCCAGAGGGCTGTCGTACCTGGCAAGGCAAAATTGACAGGTGAAATTCGAGTGATTCGAATCACATTTGAACCGCTTGAAGTCGACTCGTTTGCCTTCTGAACTCTAAACTCTTCTGAACTCTTCTGAACTTCTGGCGTTGTTGCATCATGAAGTTATAAGTTAGTAGGCATCCGGCATTCCTTTTTACTTAGCCTGATACTTGGTATGCTCTGCATAAATCAACTTTTCACTCTCAAAAAGCATCAACATGATCCTGTCAGAGGGAAGTCACCCTGCTCCTTCTGAAAATTCCATGTGAACATGCATGAACTGCTTAACTCTGGAGTTGTGAAAACAACGTGCAAACTTTTCGAACCCTTGGCATCGGCATATGCTGCACTGCCTTTGGCAGTGCAAGTCAAGGCCGAAGCAAAACCCCAGACCAGACAGCATGCGCAGCTTGTTATGTTAGTGGATGTCACAGTGAAAAACTCCCAGGGACCTAGAATCATGTGGAATTAATGTTAGAATTCTTTAGAATTAGTTGCTGTGATTGATATTAGCCAAATTAACCACAGTTCTTGAATTGCGTCTGGTACCTTCTGGCCTTCCACTTTGGGCCTTCTGAATTCAGGCCAAAACCCTCCAGGCCGTTGAGGCTCACAGCTTTCACTTTGTAAACAATTACCGCGTGATCTCGTCAATCAGTTACCGCGTGATCTCGTCAATCAGTCAATCCCAGACGTCAATAACTTCAACCATGTCAAAATTATTGGGTGATATTGGGTGACTGTGCTTCATGATCCAACATGATCCAACTTTAGGTGTTCTCATGTGTTCTCATGTGTTCTCAAGTTTGCTTGCTTTGCAGGTTGCTCTGCAAGCTGGGCGGCGCAAAGTTCACAGCTCGCCAGTCTTGTTCTGAGCGGGAGGTGGCAGTCAATTGACGAAACCGACCAAGGTTTTTTTCAAGAAACTGCAGAGAAACTGACAGTCACTGAATCTTTGCAGATCTCGCAGCTCGGCCCCGGACTCACGGCAGCCGTCATGATTTCCTCGTTTGCCTCGCTCACATTCAAGTTCTGAAACTGGTAGAGAATGGTAGAGATCTAGAAAGGACTAGTGCAACATGTGCAACTGTCCTGAGAAGACAAGTGACTTTTATATTATGCTCTTACATGATTTTTACATGTTTTTTAAACCATTCTACATGTTGTTACGATCTGTACCATGGTCTTGCCAGTCTTGGCTTACTTTAAGAGTCGAATGTCTGCATTGCCGAGTGGCTCGGAGCTCTTCTGATGCAAACTCTGAGACCATGCCATTGCCTGAGGGTCAAGCAGAGTCGAGCAGAGTCAAGCAGAGTCAAGCAGAGAGCACATGAAATCAAGCAGGTCAACAGTTCAAGCTGTTTCTCCCTTTCCCTATCTTCCCCTCAATTCCCTCAACATCCAGCGGACCAAAGAGCCTAAACAGAATGGCTGAGCAGCGTCAGCTCTTGACAGGGTGTGTACTGGAGTGAAGATACACGATATGCAAAGAATTACAAAGCTACATATCTCACCAAAACATGTCTCACCAAACATCCCATTTCACACATTTCGCAGGTCTGTTGCCCATTTTGCAGTGAAGCTTCTTTCAACGCAACGCATGACGAATTGAAAGGAACCTGCGAAGGCCGCGTCTGGTACAAAGATTTGTTTGCTCGATGTCGTATGTCAAAAGACACTGCGACATTGCCAAGCAAACGAAGGGATCAATCTCAAGATTGCTATTTCATCCTGGTCTTTCGCTTTGGGCAGTTCTCTTCATTGCTAGGGACATGCAAGGACACTGACTTTGTTTTGCTGGCCTTGGTTTCTCCATGTTTCTGCTAGACTCTTCAGACTGCAGGTCTGTACCCTGTCGCGTTCTGTCGTTTGAATTTTGTGCTTTGCCTCTGAGTCGGTCAGTGGCATGCTCCAAAGCGCAGCGGTCCATCTGCACAGCTGGAAAGACCAAATCCTGCGACCATCTGACAATGTGCACCTACCAAACAAGAGAGCAACTCAAACAGAGTCTAATATCGGGTGTTATCGGGTATCCAGTTAGTAACAGATCAAACAAATCAACCCCTGACTGTGGACCGTGTGAAAACCTACAAAACCCCTCCAGCAAGAGTTTTATCCCAACATAACCTGCAAGTTTCATGTCTTTCAGTGAGACTCATGTAGAGTCTTGTAGAGTTAAGCAGAATCAAGTACCTGCCTCTCGATCTCTTAACCGCTCAGAAGCATACCTCAATAGTGTTGCATGGCAAGGCACTTGGTACAGTAGATTTGGCAGTCTCGTCGTTAGAGTAATCTTCCTCCAAATTGGCAATCTGTTGGATTCGTTTGCCATTCGTTTGCAACACTTTGGCATTCACCCGGCTGTTGATTGGAAGATGGATTTGTGAATCTGGAATGGGTTGAAGCATCTGTAACTTTTACGAGTCAGTGCATTCAGAGTGGGTCTGTGGATTTATTCTGCAACGACATGCCTCAACATTTGAAATATCAGTTTTCCCTTTTCTCCATTTTTCTCCTATACAGCAAGTGCTCTGCTTTCTATCATCCAAACGCTCTTCATGTCATGCTCTAAATGTTTTGTCAGCTCCTTTTTGGCATTTCTGTAAAGGTTTCCAAGCATCTTGGTAAATGTCTTGAATCTTCGTTTCTTTTCGTTTCTTTCTGGTTTCTTTCCCTTAAAAGTAGCCTTAGCAAATCGCAAATCTGGGCCCACCCGGCTCCAACGCCATTGGCTGATCGCCCACGGCTCGGAAGACCTGGCGCTGAACTATTATCAGCACACCGTTCCGTGCAACCTGTGAGTCTTGAATTTTGGTTTTTGAACGGAAACCGGAGAATTTGGAATTACATTTCTTGAAATTAATTCGAGATTGGCTTCCCACAGCCTCATCAGCTAGCCATATCATCAGCAACACGTGCAACACGTGCAACATTGACATGGCTTGTCTTGGCTCAGCATGGCTCAGCATGACTGGGCGCAGGACCAGCTCTTCGTGGTCGCGAAGCCGTTGAGAAGCACAGCTCAAGGCGAAGCCGCTGCTTTCGACGGCTTGAAGCACCAGCTCCTCGTCCTAACAGGGTCCCAACACGACACAACATGGATCAACATGGATCAACATATTCAACATGCCAAAGAAATACGAAACAAATACACAATGATTCAAAATGATATATCAACAAATACACCAACAAAAGCAACCAATTAAAACTGATACAAACAGATGTAACAACCGATGTACCAGTAACGACCAATACGTTCGAGCATGCCTTGAATGTTGAAAATTGCCTTGACAAAAAACAGAGGGGCACATGGGAATATAAGGAATCAGAGAAGAAACACAGACCTCTAACTTCATCACTTTATCGCTTATCTTCTCGTTTGCTGCTTCAAATTTTGTATTGAGCCACACTAAACACCAACAACCTTAAGGCAGCAGTGGAGTATATGCTATGACGGGTCTGTGATGTCTTGGAACTTTTGAAGACAGGATTCATCTTGCAGTGCAGGATCTGCATGGAGCAGCACCTGCAAAACAAGATCTGAATGCGACAGAAACTCGATTGCACTTTTCAAATCTTTTCAAAGTTTCATCGCTACTCGAAGCTTCCTATTGAACCAGTTTCATCCAAATGGTTCACGGTCCGTTCACGGTGTATTTCAACTCTGAGACGTGCCCGCAGCCAAGATCAATGAAGAATGAAACAGCTTGAAATGCTCAGCACGTAGCGCCTACATGATCTCGCATGAACCCTGACAACTCGTGAACAACTCGTGAACTTGTGAGATCTGTGTAGAGTCTGAGATAGTCTGAGTGTCCATAGGGCGTTTCACGGCGCTTCTGTGGCACCGGTGGCACCTGCCAGGCACCGGTCTGCACGGCTTCCTGGACCAAGTCTCGTTCCTGTCGGACCGACGCAGAGGCTTGGGCCATGGCGAGCCAACTCTGCCTGGCGCAACATGCAACGAGCATAACGAGCGCAGAACGAGATCTGAGGAAACCAGCGGTTTCCATGACGTCTTGGCAAAATCAGAAGCATCTCAGAGCGACTTGAACAGAGGTGAACAGAATTGAACAGAGATCACAAGATGATTAGACTGTATGTAATAGTATGTATACAGAAAGTATACACACCATTTTTCTATATTTTTGTGGACGATTCTATGAACCTGTCAAGTCCCGCAAAACAGTCCAAAGTTGAGGAGAACCCAGCACCAAGCCATACCGAGAGGCCTCAAGGCAATCCGCACCACCTCTTTGTCGTTACAAAGATCGGGATGTGCAAATGACAGACACCGCCAGCTCGAGCGAATCGCCTCACCAATGCTCTGAACGTACTGTGAACATACTGTTGGAAACGTGGGTTCTGCTATGTTCTGCCAAAATGTGCAAAGATACGTTCGTTGGATGGAAAAGGGACACATTTCTTGGTCTAAATTTGATTTGACACATGTTTGGCTAGCAAATCTGCCAAACCTGTTCACGTCGTTGTTTTACACAGCTCACCTGCTTCATGAAGTCCCAGTCTGAGTAGAGTATGGGATCGCAGTACCTGGATTGCTGGACAAGTTTTGGCAGTATTGGCAGTATTGGTATGTAATGACAAATTTTGACAAATGTGCTAGTATGTAATGATATGATGATGATATGATAATGATATGTAATGATGGTAGTATTGGTGTGCAATGAATCTTTTCTGTAAGTTACAGTGTCCTGTGCTCTATGGGATGAACATTAGTTGATGCACAAACGCATCTCCTGATCACGTCTCTTGGTAGGACTCTTCTGTAAGGCTTCTCGGAGATTCCACGCACTGAAATACCAGTTGCAAATAGTTGCAATATGTTGCAATGATTGGTAAAATATCTGAGGCTTCACAGATCTTCACAGATCTTCACAGGCGTTGTTGACTATTTTGACTTGGACTATGAATCGGAAGCATCCTGTCCGAGATGCTCGATGGCTTGCCAGTTCTGTCTCACTGCCTGACAAAAAGTCTGTGTGTTGAAAGAAAGCCTCTGTTTGAATTGTTTGAACATGTTTGAACATGTTTGAAAACCCCTTGTTCCATCTTGTTTGATACTTGTCCTGTCAAGGTTCCTCTTTTTCTTCCTGCCTCAAGGCAAAGATCTGGATCCTTTCGGAGCTCGTCACAAGCAAAACGTAAGCAAGTGCCGGATGTTTGCACAGCCCAGAGGACCACTTCCTGTCGCATCCGGAGCTCACCGATGAAAGTTCAACCATAGTATCGTAATGATCGTAATGTATCGTATTCAAATTCATTCAAATTCACTCTTTTTATTGAAATCACATGACTCAATGACTCAAGCTTCTGGCCAAGACTCTTTCCCTATTTCTTGATTTTCCCGCACCTGCCTGATTTTGAAAGGCATCTTTCAACAGGTCAAGGGCAAAAGGAAGACTTTGAAGTTCTCAGAATTGCATCACATTCATCAACACATTCTCAAGACTGCTACAGACTGCTACAGACTGCTACAGCAACGTATGGAACTCTCGTTGTCCTCGTCGTTTTGAAAGGCCTCCAGCAGTTCGAGTGCCTCGCCGCTCTTGTGCAGCGCAACCTCCAGCAGTTCACGATTGGCCTTGCCGCAAAGGTGAAGGCCATCCAAATACCATCACCGTTTCAAAGAGATTCAAAGAGATTCAAATAAAGCGTTTAAACAACGGTTAAACAATGCTTAAACAAAGGTCACACACACACACACACTACCCTTGGCAGCTTCGTGTGGCAAACATGATGACGTGAAAAAACATCACGAGATTCAATCACCAGATTGCGAGAATGATAGGCGTGTAAAAAGAAAAGCAGAAGCGTAGCCAAGAAAAGAGAGATGCAGCATGATGCAGCAATGCACTGAAGGCACAGGCTGTGACGGAGCACAGCAACCAAGAGAAAGGACACTGGAATCAACTGAATACAATTGACGCAAACATACCAGTTTGTACAATTGGTACAATTTGTACAGTTTGTGCAGTATCCAGAATTTGTAATGTTTTCATCACAGTCCTGTAGCTCCTTTCCGGCATAAGCTATAGCCATACCATTTTGCTGCAGGGCGACCTGACTGAAATATGTTGAAGCGCAATGAGAAAGATTGAAAAAGTAAGAATTTCTGTGCTGCAACAAATACTTCAAGGGGCACATACGCAGATTATATGTCTGGGCAGATCTAGTCAAGCGTTGCAATCTGACAACGTGTGCCAACTGCAGTTTCTGGGTGACAAACCTTGACGAATGGCCTATGTTCTCGAACGACTTTGGGCATTTCCTCCAACACAGTGCAACACAGGTCCCGACAAGCTTGATCAACATTTGATCATGGAAAATGTCCATGCCATGCTCTATCCGACTCAATCCTCATGCTTTCACTTCGACTAGAAACGCCAAGGCCAGAGGCCAGTGCCCTTCCCGTGCCTTTCCCGTGCCTTTCCGTCTTTTCTTTTTGTCCGCACTGAATTTGTTTCAACTGGAGCCCGTTCCCAGCAAGATGGCGATGCCATGACAGTACGGTGCATCTGCAAATTTCACCATTTCTTGCTGCATTGCCAAGAGAGACGGCACTGTATAAATCGCGCCCTCATTTGAATCGGTGAAATACAGCTGACTACTTCCATCCCATGAGATACTCATTGGATTCCAATCCAAAGAATGTGGAGGAGCGATGAGGCCCACCTGTGGGTCTGACACCTCGCAGGAACGCAGACAGGGAGACCGTGGGAGACCGTGGGAGACCGTGGGAGACCGTGGGAGACCATGGGAGACCATGAAATCCATGAAGGACATCTCTACATATCTCTACCTTTTTTTTTGAATTCGAATCAGAAAGACTTTTCTGACGAAAGGAGTTTCGACATGTTTCGACAAAAAGCGCCAAAAAAAATACAAAAAGAAACAAAGAATATCAAAGAATCAGGAAAATACGGCGCTGAATAGAAACTTTCTGTGCCTTGGACGAGGTGGTCTTGATTTGTCCATAAACTCCTTCACGTGCCAACCAAAAGATTTCGGTGCCAGAGGTTGTCAGACCACGAACCTCCTCCAACGCATCGTCTAAAGTTGTCACGAACCTGGGTGCACTGGGTGCATCACGCACAGCACATGACACAGCTGTTCTCTACAGACTGAATCATGCTGATTCATACTCATGCAATCCCATACATTTAGATGCGCACAATTAACATAGGTCTTGCACACACACACACTTGCAAGAAACATTGTCCTTTCCCCTAGGTGATACTGTTTTGGGGTACTCAGCGCTTTCCACAGTTTGTCTGCCTTGCTGTTGGATGTTCTGTCCGCTTAGTCACGACCTGTTTCCCTTGTTGCCCCTTCTTGTTTTTTTCTCTTGTTTCCGTCTCCCTTCATTTCCATTCTGTCATGCCTTGCTGACTGTCGGACGCTGTGATCAGGAACGAAATCCAAGGAATTCCAAAGAACCTTTGTGCCACCAAAGTTTTGGCTCCAAAAAATCGAGCCGAAGTTCCCAGAAAACCCTGAAGTTTCTCCAGTCCTGAAACTTTTTTTTTATTTGAGATGATTTGGGAACAAATGCCATTTTGAAGCTGAAACCTTCCAAGTTTTGATCCCGAAAGCGTGGAGTCCAAGTTCCCCAGAGGAACCTTCTGAAACCTGATATCCAAGTGCCACAATCTCTTGAAAAACTTGAAAACCTCCCTAGCCAAGTAATTTCACATCCTTTTGGCTTGGGTTTGATGCCCCATGGAGTCCAAGTTTCCCAGAGGAACCTTGCTTCACCATCTTCACCGTTTGTGTCGGTGATGTCATGTTTTGCACTGTTCTCGTCATGGGTAGGACGTTTAGGCTTAGTTCTACCTACTTCTATTGCGATTCAATCGGGAACTGGTCTCCAGTTGCTTCAAACCCAAGAAAAAGTCTGTATTGCAGGTTGAGGTAAAGATGGCAAGGAAAGCCTCCCAATTGAGGAAAGCAACATGTCTTGCGATTGCAATCCAATATTGGCCCGTGTTCCTTTGCTCACGGAGCCATGCTTGGTTCCACCTGCTTGGTTCCCCCAGAAGATATAGAAGGAATCCACCGCAAGGCCTGACAATTCCCAAACTTTCGGGTCTGGCTGTCCTGTGTTGGCTCTAGTGTAGATTTCTGTTGGATTGAAGGTGTCACCATTCACGATTTGTTCGTTGTCAATCCTCCAGATTGAATCTGCCAAGCTCCCATTTTTTGACGCTGGATGGCCACTGAAGTATAGGTCGCCTGCACCGTTCACTGCGAGCCAATGGGCACTGAACCCCTCGACAGCTGCACGTTGCTTTCCCGTGGTCTGCAGGAAACCCGCGTTGGTCAAGCCCAGTTGATACCACCAAATGATCTTCTTCGGTGGATCTGCTACAAAAAGCCTTGACGACAAAGGATCAACTGCTATGGCAGTTGGACTGGAAACCTCTCCTAAGACCAGCGGTCTCCACACATTGTCAGGAAGAATGGTGTAGGCCTGGACGCCAGTGAAACATGTTGAAACATGTTGACACATATTGAAACATTTCCAGATTAAAACCCACTGACATCAATGAAGGACCCATATAATAAAAAATTGCAGCAAGGAGACTTAGACTGACTGTTGGCCAACTTTCTCATGTCAAATAGGTCACCTATTCTGTGATCAAAACAGTCTTGCACCAAAGAAATAAAAACCATGCAGCATGGCTGGTGCGAAATGTTGCCAAGCTGCTACTTGTTTCAGCTGCGGGAAGGACGTGATTAAATATTTTCGACCAGCTTTCAGCGCATCAGAGGAGACGGTCTGACTTCTGGAACTGCCATCTTTCACCTTTGGTGCGATAGCCAGTGCTTGGAAGAGTGTGCCGAAGATGAAAATCACCAGAAGTCGCATCAGTCACAGCCTCGAAGTGTGACAAAATGTCACGATGAACACAACGACGTTAACGATACCTGATATTGCAATGGAGTGCGCCTTAAAAGCGCTGGGGAAGGGCTTGCCCCCCTCAGTCAGCCAAGTCGCTGGAGCCGATTGGCTGCAAATTTGAGGAACTGCAGGGAAAGTGCACTGAAAAAAACAAAGCTATGATAAGCTACGACTGATGCTGAAACATTGTGAAAAGATGTGAAACAGTGTGAAACCTGTGCAATGCTGCAGGTCCCTCATAGCTTGTCTGAGTGTCTCAGAGGTCACATCATGCCCCTTCAGTGCCCCTTCAGTGCCCCTTCAGTGCCCCTTCAGTGCCCCTTGAGTGCCTTCAGCCTTAAGCCACTCTGCCTCAGCTGAAAGCATACCTCTGCCAGAGCAAAGACGAAGAACTCTGCTGTGCTTAGCGTGTTCGAATGCAGTTGAAACTGCATGGCACGCCCTTCGTGACATATGTCAGATGCGTCAGCTGCGTCAGCTTGCCAGTTGTGCTTCCTGCCTTGACGTCGTCGATGAGTTCCATTGGCATATCTTCCTCCCATGCATCACTTTGCCTCACATGATCTATCAGGATTTGCAGCTCTGTACTGTGCTTTGGCTCCTAAAACAGTTAACCTGACCAGGCTATTGACTACCAAAATCCAACACTTCCAAATGCCAAAGATAGAATGGGGAAACGCTAGCTGAAACGAGCGCTGGTCACCACTTGACAGGCCAATGGCACCTGATGGCTTCTTCCGCCTCCTTTTCTCGACGCTTGGAGTAAGGTACTAAGACCTTCCCTGAGCCAAGAGGATTTCAGGATTTCACACAAAATCTGCGATGATCACAATGATTTCCACAATGGATCAGACTTTTTTGCGCATTGACAGGGTCATAAAAATATCAAGGCATAAGTGACATAAAGTGTTCTATAGTGTTCTTGTATAGTCCCTTTTTGAAACACTGGTGGCAGGGCCTCGGTATTTCACCATGGCTCAATGGTTTGGATTTGCATGAGATTGCGCGAATATTGCATAAATATTGCATAAGGAGGCACACCATTTCAGAAATTCATCGTTTGTTTCTCGAGATTTCAAACAGATTTTCCCTCTAAATATTCGAACAAAAACAAACTGCAAGTTGTCTTCCCTCCTCTATTGATCATGACTTAAGATAAGATGACTCACATGACTTTGCTGCAGCAGTTCAAAGTGCTTGGAAGAGAATGATTCATTTTCCATCTTGTGAAAAAGGCAAAATGAGGCACATTGTGCGCATGGTGTTTGCCAACACTTTTTGACATTGCAGTAATACTTGGCCTCTAAACCCGCGAGGGCTGCGACAGCAGGGTTTTCACAGTACAAACAAGTCTTCTGAACATGCTGGAAACTGCTCGGATGGACTTTGGAAGAAGCAAACATCCAAACTGAGAAAAAACCTGCCTGTGATTGCTTTGTTGCTGAAGGTTTTCCTGTATCAATCATATCATTCCGAACCCTTCCCTTTCGTAGATGTTTCCACATGTTGCCAGCATAAAATGGCGCCAGCCCGGCGTCTTGAATGCAGGATGCCACTCCATTGTCATCGCTGTGGCTGAACCTGCCAGCTCTGTAGCGAAGAAAACCAAAGCGTTCAAAGTTGCACAGCTGAAGGAACTGATTTTGTCCTGATTTTGTCCGTTTGATTACAGAGGAACTTGGCAAAAGGCTCCCTGCCTCCCGAACTTCAGAGTGGGCCGCGGGCTGTTGAGCAAATGGCTTCGAACCAGTGCCAAACTTCCAAACATCGCAGCACTTCGTCACCCAACCCACCTACTCCACTGCTTGTAAACTGTAGAAAAGAAACTGTAAAAACAATCGAATCTAGGTTCAGACGGTGTATTATTAAATATATTCAACATATCGCATGTCAGACCTTTATTATATAGATCTATCCCATTCTATTCCGTTCTTTCAAAGCTGAAAGGCAAAAGTCCTACAACAAACCTGAGCATCGAGCCATACGCGTTAGAAGCCTAAAAGGCGCTCTCTTTTCTCGCTGAGCCTGTGTCCCTTGTGACCTGAGCGTCCTGGAAGCATCAAAACTATTGATATACTGTTGATATCTGTTGATCATGAGTGAGTCATTGACAGTCATTGAATATAGTAATTCGATGTAATTTGTTTAATGTACTGTATTACTTGACATTTCTTGACCATACTTGACCCATGTCTATCACATCATCCATCACATCATTCACATCCCTCAGTGCTTAGTGTAAAGGAGGTCGTTGGCGAGTAAATCTCAGGTTGCTGTGACATGTGACATGTAACATGTAACATGTTGTGACGTGTCGTGACGCTTTCGGAAAATGTCACAAGGGTTGTCTCCGGTGGATCCGGCCAGCTTAGGGCCAAGAGCAAACATCCAGGGGTGACGAGATGGCGCATCTAGATCTAGGTACATCACATCGATCATCTAGGATCTAGGATCATCTAGGATCATCTAGGTATCTTTACAATTCCTTAGATATTTTTGTGATATTTTTGTGATATCTTTTTAATCATCCTTGGCTCAGTCGGAAAAGATTCGGTTTAAATCAGATCCAGATCTCATCCATCTCAGGTCCCTCGCGTCCCCCGATGCAGGCAGACCTCAGGTCGAACCTATCAGCTCCAGCTCCATTCAGCTCCATTCAGCTCCTGACCAGACATCTTAAAGCAGCAAGAAGCAGCAAACATAGCAAACATCAAAACTCATCCAGACACATTTTCCAATTTTTCCATTCATTTCCATACCCTTTCCATACCCTTTCCAAAATTTCCAAACCCATTCTGGCCGAAATTCCTTCTGAGCCCATGTAGAGCATGTAGAGCACCTACACTTCTAATCTTTGCATTTTGCCTTGGCCAGTGCAATGCTCAGTGAAAATCAGTGAAACACAAAGACCTGCATCACAGGAAAATTGAACAAAGACAGTGCAAGAATTGGCAGATTCTTGTCTTGCATGATCTTGTATGATCTTGTATGATCTTGCAACTTGTGAAGTTACCAAAACGGGAATACAATACACCCAGACTGCCACTGCCAGCGCTGCCTGATCCCAAGGATCCACTTGATACCTGTGCGCAAGAAGTCTCTGAGCCAGATCTGTCCATGTTGTCTGGCCATCTGTTTCACCAGACCCTCTTCTTCACAAGTCGGGGCAGTTTCTCGTTGTCTTGAAACGCAGAAATGAGATGCAATGAGATGCAATGAGATGCAATGAGCACGTGTCAATACACTTCAATACACTTCAATAATTTTGAATCTCTGCTTTGTTATGTCAGTTTTTCTCTTTTGCAGAAACATTTTCATGGCCTTAGCCATGATTTCCCACGGCGGAGGACCTGAGACAAGAGTACAACCTTGCACAACTCACGTATCATCCTATGGGGCGCATCATGTCATGCGCTTCATATCATTTGACAATATTTTACATGTTAGATGTGTCATATCTGTATCATGTTTGTGTCATATCACTGATATCACTGATATCACGGTGTATTTCTTCCACGTCGTGGACCAGTTGGGCCAGTCATTTTGCGTCTTGCAACGCGCCAAGCTGCCGAGGTCAGCATGATGCCAAAAGCGACGGCCATCTGCGCCTCACAACGAACACAACGAACACAACACCCCTGGCAACGCCTTGAATCGACAATCATTTTTAGTCATCTCCAGTCATCTCCAATCCGTCCTCAAAACCTGCTCAGTTTGAATCTCACCAGAATGTCCAGGTCCAACGACAGTTTCAAGTTCTCATGAGTGCGATGAAGTGATAGTGAGGGCATGTTGATGGGCATGTGAGCGCAATGCTGGAAACTTGAAATAGAATGAATGGTCAATGAGCGTTTGAAGTGGTGAAACGTGGTGAAACGTGGTGAAACGTGGTGAAACGTCTTTGTCAAACTGTTTGTCAAAGCGTTTGTCAGTTGTGCGACGCGTTGTGCATTGCCTTCGTGGTAAATCCAGCCGTTCGGCTTCTCATCGGGGCTTGGGATGCTTGGCCTGGCGGGTGCAGCAGGTGGCACGGTATCTGACAGAGACAGAGATTTAAGACCAATCTATCGGGTAACAAAAAAACCTGTTGAATAAACATGTTGATATGTATATATATATATATTATATTATATATCTAATATATATATGATACTGTATTATCTGTATTGTCAACTATATGTCATACCCTATATGTTCACGGCACTTGAGACGGCATGACTCATCGTGTGTCGAGTCGAGTCGAGTGCCAGGCCGGGACCGCGGTGATTCCGCATCCTCCCAAGGAGGTGGGCCCAGCGCCAGGTTGTGCCAGTAGCGCCGGCCATTGGGACCTCCACAGTTCAATGAACTGACTCCAAAGTGTTTCATTTAACAACTATATACGTACTATATACGTACTATATACGTACTATATACAATTACTACAACAATTATAACATACTATAATGTTACTATAACATATTGTAACATATTGCAACATATTGCAACATAGGAGTCTAACATCTGCAAGTTTTTTGTGTAAATTGTGTGTCATCCGCTTTGAGATTTCTGCAGTGTCAGATGCGTGTCACGTCGGTCGACCTGTGGTGCTCACCCAATTCTCGGGCGATAGCTCTGGTGCAGGCAAAGGATTTTGCACCTCTGCTACACTCCTCGCAACGTCACAGCGACAAGATGCGACAAGATGCGACAAGATGCGACAAGATGCGACAAGCAACACATCGCAACACTCGTCTTCAGCAAGCCTTTGTCTTCTGAACTTTGAGAAATCCTCAAGTCTCATAATTCTACTTTTCATGATTTGATTTTTCTTGCCTTCTATGCTCAGGTGATTCTCATCATATGATACTTTTGAATGCTTTTGAATGCTCTTGATCTGATGAGCAATTCATACGGTTTTACTAACAATATGACGACAATGTGTGACAATATCATATAATTAAGCATATAATATCATACGTATATAATTACAATGAATACAATGTGTGAAATCAACAAGTGATTCAACGAGTGATTCAGTGTGATTTCACGTAATGTCTCGCTCCAGGCCCGAAGCGCAGCACGGCCCACTGCTGCATCCACGTCCAATGGGTCTATCTCAGCACGGGTCTCGGTTAGAAAAACATCGCCGGGTGAGGATGAACTGCGTGTGTAGAGTGTGTAGACTCAGTGTAGATGCGCAAATTGCAATTCACAATTGCCAAGCCTTGCAGTGTTTTATACTCGAAAATAGGTCGCTTTTTGGATGAATGTATAACAATTGCAGTGGCGGCCACAAATTTGTTGCGAATTTTTGGCTCTCTGTAGCATCATACGCAAGAGCGTGTGGAAAAGAACTCTAATACCACACCCTCACCCAGCCCAGACCAAGTTACGCACATGTTCAACATTACCCATGTTCAAAATTCACAACCTTCCAAGGCTACCCAAAACAACAAAAAAACATGAACGAAACTCAACAAGATATTCCAAGAAAGTCAGTTGCCGTATGTTGCTGTGTGGAAACTCTGAAGTGGCTCACACTCAGTGCTTTTAACTCGACATGGAAGTTGCTATTCCAAAAAACTCGTGTCTGCAAAGTGTGTCGTCTCTACGGCAAAACGTGGCTTTAAAAGGATTACATGTCGGAATCGACCATGGTCAACCAATCACCTCTTCATTGTGGGATTTCGTTTCTGCGTCTAACATGTCCAACGAGTGAAAGGAGTCCAACGCGACGCAAAACGGCTTGGCGTCCCAACATCGCCCATGTACGGCTGACAACAGCAGGGTGGAGCTGCAGGCCTGGGAGACCGGCCGCACTTGAAGTATCTGGAAGTATCTTGAAGTATCTTGGCTGATAATCGGCTACTCAGAATGACTCCTGGAATACTCAAGGAATACAGTAATTACTCAGTAATTACTTAGTAATACTCCAATGGCCAATTGCAGCTACAAATGCTCCTGCAGATCTTGCAGATCATCTGCAGAGCATGCAGCTGGCACGTGCACTGACACAGCACGTGGCACTCTACAGACAAGTTGCCATCTGAGGAAGTAAACTTCGATTTTCCAAACGTGACCCCAAGGCCAGCCCCAGTTCAGAGATATTCAGAGTACGAAATGTACAAATGCATGAAATGCATTGAGCTGCTGACAGGCTGTCTATAAACCGCGACATCTCATCAGCACTCTCCTTTCCGACCATGTCGATAGTATATGATGTGTGAGGGGGTGTGACATGTGTAATATTGTGTAACATATGCAAATCGTATGACCACCGTAATGATGACAGCTGACATGAATCGCTTTGAAGAGTTGCTTGAAAACACGGAACATCACGGAACACTTCAACTGCAACGACTGCAACGACTGCAGTTTATTGCTTTCATTCTCGCTGGATCGTGCCCGTTGTCCCGAAGAGTCTGCTGAAGCTTCAACGTCGATGGCCGCGTGAGGTCCAAGAGGTAGTCCTCGTGCAAGCGATGATATCCAAGAATCTGGAAAACTCAGATATGAATGGCATAGGAATCCAGGATTCTTAGGATTCTTGGGCTGTTGGAAGATCTGTTGAAACCCAGAAACAATGTCAACAGGAAAGCTTTCTAAAAGCATTGCAGTACCACCAAAGTGGGCAGCGTAACATCACCAGGGAACTCAAAGTAAGATTCTGCTGATCTCATCGCTTCCGAGTCAAAATTGAAACTCAGTAAATTCATGTAATTTAGATATATTTAGATGAAATTCGATTTCAATTGGATTTTCTACAATGGAGTTTTAGTTAGAATAGTTAGATTGGCTTGTGATTTTTGGAGGTCCATGGTCCAATGTGGTCCCAATCCGCTTGGGCTCTTGGGCTGCCGGCAGGGTCCGTATCCAAACTGAAGAGCAATGCGACATGCGCAATCGCCTGTCATTTGACAGCTGTAGCCAACTTCATCCCGCTTTCATCCGACTGCACCCACTTCAATTATCTGTTGGCTGGGGTGCAAAAAGGTATGTCACATACAGAACTGAGACTGCAAACTTACTTCACGAGCCAAATACTAAGTGAAATCTAGTGTATGTATCACAGTGTCATCACGCGTTTTTGACATTTGACTAGATTTTATTTTTTGTCGTGCATGCTGTCCATACTCTACACGCTGAATTAGCTCCGATCATCCCCCCACACCGGGCAGAGCATGCCACAGCCTCTCCCAGCTTGCATTCAGCGCCCAGCAATCCTCCTTTTATGTGAGCCAATGGGACCTCAGGCTGCTCTCGGAAAACAGATTAAACCTTTCAACAGTACAGAACTGTATATAACAGTACATATTTCTATATATATATATTATATATATGTATATATATATATCGCATATCGAATTCTGCAGCATGCCGGAGTCTTGTCTTTTGCCGTGAGAAAGTTGAAACCGTGGCTACGATTCCACGCGCGTCAGACAGCGAACTCGTGCTTCGTACCCGAGCGTCCCAGCTGGCACCACTGGACTGCACCAAACGCAGCGTCGCTTGTCCGACTTCAGCCTTAGCGGCGCTTAGCGGAGTCAAATCAACTTGGGATGTGGTTAGCCGGGTAGAAACAAGCGGTACGCTGTGACAGATGGAGCAAGATCCTGAGAAAATTACCGCAGGGAACCAAAGAGTCCGGCGTTTGCTGCAAGCACGATGGAAGAATTCGCTTCTGCAAATCTAGTGTTGCCTCATGACATGGATCTGTCTGTATGGTCAGGCAGCAGTTATTTCCACGCATCACTGTTCACCTATACCTCTCCTCATCTCCTCGTTTCCTCGTTTCCTGACTTGTGGAGAAATTGGCTCGGAAGCGACTTAGCGGCTTAGCGAACAAGCATAATGCGAATTACTCGTGGACAGAATTCCTCATCTTGTCCTTTCTGCAATGGAAGCACATGATTTCCGCGCCTCACCGACGTCAGCTGGTCTACCAGAAAATTGCAAGAAACCAAACCTGGGCGACTTTGGCAGTTTTCCTATAGCACCGAAGCAAACCATAGCAATGCTCTCATTATCTCTAATTATCTCTCATTATCTCTCGTTCATCTCGGACCCCGCACTGTGTGTCACTGATGACTCGAAGGCGTAGCTTCAGTCCAGGACCAGACAAATCCTAACCAAGTCTGAACTCCGTGCATCCTTGTGGCGTTTCTGAATTCGTATTTATTCGTAGCATCATTGGGTTCAACACGTCGCACCTCAGTAGTCACAGTGAATGTCACCTGCAGCCAAGAGTGAAAATCTGCTGAGTTTGTCTTTCGTCATGTTTGAAATATTTGAATGATACAAAGACTTTAAACATCTTTAAAATATAAACCACTGCGGTACCACATTAATGCTGCGACGAAGCAAGCATGAAAGCAAGCAAGCCAGCCTGCTCGTCGAAGCGCCAAGGATATTGTGTACCCTCCGCCCCTGCTGCCTGAGCATCACGATTTTCGGGAAGCCACATCCTTGACATGGAAACGCAGAAACTAAACTGATTTTGAGATCGTCGTTTTGGAACGAATTTCTGTGGAACATTACCATTTCAGAAATTCCTAAGCACCATCTAAGCACCTAAGCATCAGTGCCAGCATGTCATTGAAACACCTTGGAAGTTCTGATGGCACTGAAATCACTGGAATCTTAGAGTTCTCCAAAATTTGAAAAAACCTTCTGTTCCAAATTGTTCCAAGATGCCAGTGATGTTCCACATTTTTCGCAACCTGTGCCCGTGCCCGGCTCCGCTGCCTTCTCTGAGCGCGTGCTGTTGGGATTGTAGTCCGCTGGCTCCGTGTCCTCTAGTTTCTCTCCATAGTGCAGTAAAACATCATGACTAAATCAATATTATCATGACAACTGCAGAAAAATGTATAAAATACAATGAAGAATACAAGGAAGACAAGTAATTAATAGACACAATTACACCAACATACACCAACCACGTTCCAAAGATGCATCTTAAAACCATCTAAAACTACTGTTTTGACACATTCTTGATGAATATCTTGATGAAAATACTTCATCATGCCGCACAGAAAGTCTCCACGAAGAATAACACAACACTTTGGGCTGTGGAGAGCGCACAAATGCGTGCATAATGCAAGATCGATTGCCAGCCTTCTCCACAGAACCCACGTTGAGCTGAAAGAAAGGACCTCGGCGACTTCGCCACTAAGGTTTAGCCAACTCTGATACTCGAACCCTCAAAGCCACTCAACTGATTCTGAACCACTTGCAAAATTTTATTGAATTTCATCCATTCATCCATTCATCATCCATTCTTGTCTTTTCTTCTATCTTTATTCTTGTCATTTCTTGTCTTTTACTGTAATTCTTTCATTTTAATCTTTTCATTCTGATCTTCTCTCACTGGGTTCGTTGGCGGCTACGTGTGAAGTTGCCCGGAGCGGGCAAACCCGGTAGCGAGGCCGAGAGCACCTTGGTGGATCCGTGTGTCTGATGTGACTGATGTGACAACTTAGCCAACTTTGAACGAAAACGACAAAAACGACAAACTTTGAAAAAAACATGAAACATTGATAAAACATGATAAAACATGATAACATTTTTGAATCACTTTTGTCATTTCACTATATTTCACTTCTTTTGGGTCTTTCAGTTCTCTTTGTCCATCTTTCGCTTTCTGTTTTCATGGACCCTGACTCGCACAGAGAGCTTGCAGGCTGGAGTCTTGCTGTTTGCAAAGCGTGGCACCTGCACCTGGACACTCCCCCAGTGCTTTCACTCAGTGAGCTTTTGGCTCTTGGTCAATGGAGATGAAGCCGGAGTCCACATTGTGTTCGCAAGAAAGATGAATTGAGATGAGTCGAGTTGGAGTTGAGGGTGGGGTTTGCACCCACAATGCAGAAACACAAGGTAGCTCAAGAATACTCCGGCAAACTTTTTCCAGCATGCAACTCGCCCAATCCTGCAAACAAGCCGACGTGCAATCTTTCGGTGTCTTGAAAATAACTGCTTTGAGCTGCGTGCATGACTTCAGCAGCATTTTTCAAGCAGCTCAATTTCCTAGAGTTTGATGGGTCGAAAGTGTCACATTTCTGATACTGCACACGAATGCACTGATCAAAACTCCAAGCACAGACAATTCTGAAGACGATACTTATCTCCCAGCGACTTCGCCTTTCCTTCTGCAGATCTCCTCTCTTCTTGGAGTTTCCCAGAAAATAATCTGTCCTCAGTAAGCTCTTCCTCTACAACTGGCAGAACTTCTGGGACTTCTGCGAAATGAAGCCTCAGAAGTGACACAGATTCTTGAGGTCGTTACTTTGTCACTGAGAGTATCACTGATATCATGAGCATTTGCCATCCTTAGAGTCTGACACGTAATGCATCTCTTGGAAGATCTCGAGATGTTTCTCCAAACGATATCCAAGGCTTTCGAAAAGCTTTTGCGATGCCAGGTTCTGATCCTCCAATGGCATCCGCAGAAGTTCATTGAACAACCCAAATATGTTCTTACAGATTCTGATAATTGTGAGATCATGTCCACACATTTCCAAACAAACTTCTGAAAGCAGAAGTTACCAAATTTCAAAAGCTCTTAGCAAATGCTGCTCTCAGGAACAAATCAAATAAGAATGACAGCACGGATTTTCTGAGCGAAGGAAGAGAAATTGGAGCTTGTGCAATAAGTAACTCTCCATGATTCATAAAATTTGTATCATCTATATATACACTATACATAATTTATATATCATTTATATGTCATATCATTGATATTATATATTATGTATATATATATATGTATCATATTATGATATCATAGTATCTTTTATATACGATTCAAAGATGTTTATAGATGTTGATATTGTTCCATGGCCTGTCCCCAAAATCGTGAGCATATTTTTCAAACATCACGTTGTCATCACGCGCTGTGTTTTCACGTCCTACGTTCCGTTCCAATCCGTTCTGCCTTGATCTTGGCCACGAAGCGCTTCGTGCCAAGGTGTTTCCCGGCAAAGGCCTCGCACGCAACATTTTTTGAGTCAAGTGACAATAACTGACAATAAGTGACAATAAGTGACAAGGAATGACAAGTCCAAACCGTCCGAACCATCACAAAGAATTCTTGTACAGTCAAACTGACATGTAATAATGTCTAATTTTGGACATATGTTGGACATGTTCCTTCTTTTTTGTCAATGATTCTGATTGGGAGTCAACGGATTCTCGCCCCAGCCTGCATAAGTTGCACTGCCTCTCGAGCGATTCCCTTGCGACGGCATTGCTGATTTGCCACCATCACCTCGAATGAATTGCACAAAAATTGGACAAATTCAAAAAAAGGCGATAACATATGAAAAACCCGTGATAAAAAACATGAGAAAACATACGTGTAAAAATCATGATGAAACCGGAGAAAACACAACTAACCAAACTAACTCTCATTTCATCGAGGCCCTACAAAAACCGTCTTCAGAACGTCTGTGACGTCGACTCGGCCTCAATCTCCCCGAGCTCGTAGAGATCTGCTGGATCATCTGACTGCACACAGCATGGGACCATGGGCTGACGTGAAACAGAATTTTCCCAGTGACATCCAGTGACCATATCTGCATATCTTGCCTGGTCCCATTCTCAAAGACCCCATCCTTGCTTACATTGCCAATACATCACCAACTGCGACATGTTCGACTCACATTCAACTGGGGATCCTCTATTCAACATGCTTGTTCGATGCTCGTTGCGGTTGTAAGGCTGCGCCTGTCCAAAAAAGATGTTTACATCTCCGGCGAAGGATGTTCCATCAGACTTGTCAATCAAGATGAAAGTTAGCTTGTCCTGACGAAGCCACAAAGACAATGACCGTGACTTTGTCAAGCGGTTTTGTGAATTCCTCAAACTGCAACATACTGCAACATTTGATACATTTGCGGGTACACTGATTGAACAGTTCGATACAATTCCTATATTCTACACTAATCTGAAATGTCCGAAATCAAAAGTTCTCTTTTGCATTGGTTGCTAGGTTTGAGTGCCATCAGAATGTTTCAAAATGTTTCAGAGATGATGAAGCCATTTTGTTGCCATCGAATCACAACGAATGATGAAGCTCCTCGGAATCTTGCCAGGTCTGCTGCATTTCGTACTCCTGCAGTCATTGCAGTCACTACAGTCTGCTTCATTCGCTTGATTTCAACACGTTCTGGGTTCATTTTGGAGGAACTCTGGCGATGCACTGCACAAAAGTTCTCCTCTTCGAGGGTCAAAGGCTCAGAGCCAGTGAGTTCCAAGATCCCTGGATCCTCAAGAGCAACAAGAGGAGCAGCAATGGATTCCAATCAGATTCCAATCGAAAAACAAACGAAAAGTTCAACGAATTAACGACTTTCGACTCAAAAAACCTTCACAGGTTTGACAAATCCACAGATTTGAACAGCTGGAGCGTTTCCAGTACAAACGAGTCTGGGTTCAGTTGGAAACATGTAAACACACATTTTGTCATTTTTGTCCTGCATCCACTTGTGGTACATAGGTACCATCCATCGCTCGTAGGGCACCAAGTCACACCTTGATCCTTAGCAGCGTTGCCATGTGCCCAAGTAATCATGTAGCATCGGAAGTACCACAAAGGTGAATCTCAAAGTGGAAGAACACCCCTCTGTTTTCACAAAAAATGTGATGGTGAAAGATGGTGAAAGCAGTAGATTCTTCCTCTGCCTCTGTTTTGTTCCTTGTCACGATTCTAGACCTTCCCACTGTTGAATGCTGAAAGGCACCCACTACGCGAACATTCTTGTTGATCCGCCTTGGTACAAGGGGCTTGATCTATTGTGTAGCTAGTGTAGCTAGATTCTTGGCGGCACCACAGATGGATGGTATGGTCATGTATTGTCAAACCGTTGCTTTCGTTGCAATTTCCATTTTGATCCAGTGATTTGACGTAAAAATGTTTGTTTGTTTGAAAGACACTTGACAGCTGTCACTCCTGTCACTCTCAGAAGCTCCAAGTCTAGCTGCGAGTGGTGCTACAGCACAGTCTCAATTGGAAGGACAAAGAAAATATGTCCCAAAAGCTGAGGGACATTGGGCACCAGATTATGGCGCCATGGCGAGAAAAGTGAGCTTTTCAAAGCGTGAGGCCATGAGGCCATAAGAAAAACCCGCTAGCAGTTCGTACGAGCCATGATCCCAAATGATCCCAAATGATCTCAAAATTCTCAAATGATCTGAAGAACGGTCTGCAGATACATTCGATCTTTGACTAGTCCTTCAAGCTTAACACAACCTGCACTGTCTCTTGCATCATTGTTTGCTCACATGTATTCCTCACATGTTCTTACATGTTTGGTCTTTGAGACTTTGTGCCAGGAATTCACTGGGAAAAGGAAAGAACAAAACTTGAGTCCTGTTGTCCACTCTACTTGAAGCCCTACTCCCCATCAGGGAAACTCTATGAACGACCAAATAAAATGCTTGTCGCTCTGTGGGAGAATGACAAAAAGGTCTGCCAACAAGTTCTCCAAAAGATTCCAAAACCACTCTACTAACATCTACTAACTCTATCAACTCTACTGTATCAACAGTTTGTCAACAGTTTGGCAACTCTACCAGTTTCGACTCCACCGGCTCCACCTGATCCAAGGTCTCCCGCAGCAAGTGACCCCCTGCGGCTGCGACTGCCACATTGAGCCTCATGTCCATCAACAAATGATGTCACACTTACAAAGTTACTACAAAGTTACTACAAAGTTACTATGAAGGTGTCAGGAAGAATCTGTACTTGACTCAATACCGAGCCTGAACCTAGCATGATTCATTTTGAGAGGAGCGAAGCTTTGATCAGGGGCTCGGCATGACACATCTGACATATCTATCTCACGTCTCACGTACACCAGATGGCCATCCCGAACTGGGCGGTGTCGGAGCAATCTTGGACAGTAACAAGATGTGACAGCCATTGACAGCCCGTTTTGTTGCAGGAATTCCATGGAATTCCGGGAGATTCAAAGCGCATTCTATTCGATGCAAACTTACCATGGAATTCCAATAGATCATCCTAGATCTTGCTCTCCGAAACAAAAACAGTGCATTGAAAACGTGGTGCCATCACTTCCTGTTGGACCTTACAAACAAATGGCATCACCCTGTTGCTGTATCTTTACCTGGCATCGCGGCATCACCATATTGCAGTTTCTTTCAATATAAACTAAGGCCATGGCATCCGTCACCTGCGAAAACTGAAAGAGAACAGCAGTGTCGCACAAGGCACTACTGCAATCAGAAAGACACGTAAGACACGTAAGACACGTGTCAATTGAAGAATTACACCTGATGAAGTTCTGATGGCAAAACAATTTGATGCGGTAAATCCAGATCTTCTTCTGTTTCACAGCGACTGAGTTGCTTTTCCTTCACCAAGACACACGCAGTGCTAGGGGAAGTATTGGTTTGAAGCAGCGTTTACAGAATTCTTCAGCTTCTTAGAACACATGTTCTTTCTTGCACTGTCTGTTGGCAAATCGGTCTAAAAGGGACATGGTTTTACAGCATGGTGCTTCATATCCAGCTCGCCCCTTCTAACTGCGTCTGCAGTTTCGATATCTGCAAACTTTTCAGGTCCTTTGAACGTTGACTGAGTTGGGGGGGCCCTTGACTCAACTGGTTTATCATGGCCCAAACCCCATTTGTCGGCCCGTTGTAGGTCAAACGAGAACGAGGCAGGATTAGCTGATTAGCACAAATTGCAGGATTTCTAAGGGCCTTCGAGCGGCGTTGCAGTCACAGGAGCATTTCTGGTGCCAGAATAGAACAAAGAACAAAGGCCAAAGGATTGCGGAGCAGGGGTGTCGAAACATTCAAATCGTTCAATAGAAATGCAATGCCATATGAGTCTCATATGACGATCATATGATACCTATATATACCTATATGATTATCATATGATACCTGAAGATGTGCTCTGTGACATGGACTTGATGTTTCAAGATGTTTCATGACCCGGCGCCAAAAAGATGACTCACAGCATCTGATGGCATCTGAATCTGATGGCCCCATGTGACACCAGTGACACCATGGTATCAACATTTCATGACTGTCACCCTGTCTGTTATGTCTGTCTGATGTTTGAAGCTCACGAAGCTTGATATGAAATACGGCGCACAGCACAACCACACACACATATCGAACTTGCAGAACGCTTGCATAGCACCCACAAAATGAGGATTTTTGGCACAAAATAGTGCTATATTATATAATATTATATAGTGTTGTCACCTTTGAAACCTGCTCAGAGATTGCACCTGTGCCATTGGGAGCATTGCTTGATGGCCAGACTGCTGACTTTTCAAACGATATGATTTCCCTTTGTCGCTTTGTGATGCTTTGTGTCAATTCATGAATTCGCGGCAAGCGTTCACTCAAAAGCAGTTGAGTGACTCCTGCAGGTGCCATTTGTTTAGTGTTTCCTGCGGACTAGAAATCTTCAGAAATCTTCCAAAATGAATTGTCTCATAAACCAGCCATGACCACAAGAACTGGCCATCTTTTGCGTCCTCTTGGCTGCCATGATGCTGCGAAACCTCGACAACGGGAAAAGAATGAACACGACATAGCACGACATAACACGACAAAGGCACGAGGGAAACAGCACACAAAAGAAATGTAACATATCATAACACAAACACGCCATTGTTTCTTGCAATACAAAGGCCGCGACCAAGGGTGCTGATCTTCCTCATCAGTCCTGCATTATCTTGGCATCTTGGCAGAAGGGACTGACTCCAGAGGTATCTGTGATTTCTCTTCAGGAAAGCCTCAAACATTCTGGCCTCTTTGCAAAATCCCTGCCACCAAAAGATCCAAAAGAGTGAATCTGCGACCGCAATTGGTCTTTTGGATCACACCTGAGATTGTGGCCGTGTATCTTCGAGCATATTCATCAATTCTCATGCATACTGGCTGATTGGCGAGATCTTTGCAGAACTTTCGGGCATGCCGGAGTGGAAAAAGAAGTCTCGGATCTTACTGGAACATGTCATGCCATGGAATGCATTTGTAATGCCTGCCCTTCAAGCTAAGCCAAAACTCAAACTCCCAAGTTCATGACAAATGGGGCGGATCTCTTCTTTGGTCAAAATCTGTTCTCTGGTCGAACCTTGCATGGCGACTCATGTCAAATTGAAATCTGGTGTAGTGGCTGAATAAAAAACCATTGAGGCAGCAAAGTCTCTTGATGTCTCTTGTGATTTTGTTCAGAGAAGCAGGACATTGCAAACTGCATGGAGCTTTGCGTTGGCTTCTACTTACCAAACTGTAAACCTGTAAGCTTCCAACCAAGAAGGATCATCTTCGTCAGGCGTCAAATTTGACCTGCTTTGTATCACACACTCGCCCCCCTTCCAAACAGTAAGCATATCATATTCTTTGTGCAACAACAGGCACATGTATGCAGTATTATATGCTCATACTTTCCTTTCATCAGGCTGGCCTCTTTGCAAAATCCCTGCCACCAAAAGATCCAAAAGAGTGAATCTGCGACCGCAATTGGTCTTTTGGATCACACCTGAGATTGTGGCCGTGTATCTTCGAGCATATTCATCAATTCTCATGCATACTGGCTGATTGGCGAGATCTTTGCAGAACTTTCGGGCATGCCGGAGTGGAAAAAAAAGTCTCGGATCTTACTGGAACATGTCATGCCATGGAATGCGTTTGTAATGCATTTGTAATGCCTGCCCTTCAAGCTAAACCAAAACTCAAACTCCCAAGTTCATGACAAATGGGGCGGATCTCTTCTTTGGTCAAAATCTGTTCTCTGGTCGAACCTTGCATGGCAACTCATGTCAAATTGAAATCTGGTGTAGTGGCTGAATAAAAAACCATTGAGGCAGCAAAGTCTCTTGATGTCTCTTGTGATTTTGTTCAGAGAAGCAGGACATTGCAAACTGCATGGAGCTTTGCGTTGGCTTCTACTTACCAAACTTTAAACCTGTAAGCTTCCAACCAAGAAGGATCATCTTCGTCAGGCGTCAAATTTGACCTGCTTTGTATCACACACTCGCCCCCCTTCCAAACAGTAAGCATATCATATTCTTTGTGCAACAACAGGCACATGTATGCAGTATTATATGCTCATACTTTCCTTTCATCAGGCTGGCCTCTTTGCAAAATCCCTGCCACCAAAAGATCCAAAAGAGTGAATCTGCGGCCGCAATTGGTCTTTCGGATCACACCTGAGATTGTGGCCGTGTATCTTCGAGCATATTCATCAATTCTCATGCATACTGGCTGATTGGCGAGATCTTTGCAGAACTTTCGGGCATGCCGGAGTGGAAAAAGAAGTCTCGGATCTTACTGGAACATGTCATGCCATGGAATGCGTTTGTAATGCATTTGTAATGCCTGCCCTTCAAGCTAAGCCAAAACTCAAACTCCCAAGTTCATGACAAATGGGGCGGATCTCTTCTTTGGTCAAAATCTGTTCTCTGGTCGAACCTTGCATGGCAACTCATGTCAAATTGAAATCTGGTGTAGTGGCTGAATAAAAAACCATTGAGGCAGCAAAGTCTCTTGATGTCTCTTGTGATTTTGTTCAGAGAAGCAGGACATTGCAAACTGCATGGAGCTTTGCGTTGGCTTCTACTTACCAAACTGTAAACCTGTAAGCTTCCAACCAAGAAGGATCATCTTCGTCAGGCGTCAAATTTGACCTGCTTTGTATCACACACTCGCCCCCCTTCCAAACAGTAAGCATATCATATTCTTTGTGCAACAACAGGCACATGTATGCAGTATTATATGCTCATACTTTCCTTTCATCAGGCTGGCCTCTTTGCAAAATCCCTGCCACCAAAAGATCCAAAAGAGTGAATCTGCGGCCGCAATTGGTCTTTCGGATCACACCTGAGATTGTGGCCGTGTATCTTCGAGCATATTCATCAATTCTCATGCATACTGGCTGATTGGCAAGATCTTTGCAGAACTTTCGGGCATGCCGGAGTGGAAAAAAAGTCTCGGATCTTACTGGAACATGTCATGCCATGGAATGCGTTTGTAATGCATTTGTAATGCCTGCCCTTCAAGCTAAGCCAAAACTCAAACTCCCAAGTTCATGACAAATGGGGCGGATCTCTTCTTTGGTCAAAATCTGTTCTCTGGTCGAACCTTGCATGGCGACTCATGTCAAATTGAAATCTGGTGTAGTGGCTGAATAAAAAACCATTGAGGCAGCAAAGTCTCTTGATGTCTCTTGTGATTTTGTTCAGAGAAGCAGGACATTGCAAACTGCATGGAGCTTTGCGTTGGCTTCTACTTACCAAACTGTAAACCTGTAAGCTTCCAACCAAGAAGGATCATCTTCGTCAGGCGTCAAATTTGACCTGCTTTGTATCACACACTCGCCCCCCTTCCAAACAGTAAGCATATCATATTCTTTGTGCAACAACAGGCACATGTATGCAGTATTATATGCTCATACTTTCCTTTCATCAGGCTGGCCTCTTTGCAAAATCCCTGCCACCAAAAGATCCAAAAGAGTGAATCTGCGGCCGCAATTGGTCTTTCGGATCACACCTGAGATTGTGGCCGTGTATCTTCGAGCATATTCATCAATTCTCATGCATACTGGCTGATTGGCAAGATCTTTGCAGAACTTTCGGGCATGCCGGAGTGGAAAAAAAAGTCTCGGATCTTACTGGAACATTTACTGTCCTCCTGAAGCCTTCCAACCATAAAGACTTTCAAGCTCGCCGCGAGATATGTCGGTTCTGCATCACATCACGCCTTCGGCAAACGGTGTCAAAAGTTCGTCTCGTGTAGGGAAAATTTTGACACAAAGCCTGCATAGAAACCTCAGCTGCGCTGCCGTTGGCTCCTGGCGGGAACGGCATGAAAAAACATGAAAACAGCCCAACTATGTCCAACTCACAGTGACGGAGATGTTGACGCTGCCATTGGCGCGACTGAACTGTGAAGCCAGTCAAGAGCTGAGAACATTCCAGTCCTGAATGTGAGAACGCTTGGCTTTCCGCCGAACTTGTGGCACGAAACTTTGCGCTGGTGCAGGTTTGATGCTCTCGCAGCCTGGCTGCGAGCAGCTTTGTCATTGTCGACTCTGGATTCGTCGAAACATAATACAGCGCTGAGCTGAAAAACTAATGGAAACAAATGGAAACACTAAAAATGCAATCTTGACAGGAAAAGCGGAGGAACCAACAATGGGTAGATTGGGGTGCCTAGGCGGCCTGATGATGTCGGTGCCACGCCACTGTCCTGTCTGTTCTAGACCCGGTGGGAGGTTCAGCTAGGCAGCTTTCAACCATCGTATGCCGGCCACAGGATTTATCCAATCTCCAATACGTTGCGGTGAAATCCTGGTGCAAACTTTTGATGACTCTGCACACGACGAGGTATCATATGTATCATATGTATCATTGAATCAAATAACTTCAAACCTGTTCCCAAACCTTCGGTTCTGGGATGGGATGTTGGGATGTTGGGATGTTGTGGATGGTCACGCCAAGAGCGTAAGCTCCGAGAGCTGCCTTGTCTTGGACTCTTTGTGACGTGGCCAAACCGCTTTGGGTCCACATAACTCATATGACCAATGTGTGTGTCCCGTCTGGGATCAATCGCCATGGTCTGTTTCACAGGCCATGGTGCAAAGGAGATCAAAGGAGCACATAGCTCCTTGGAAAATTGGACAGATTAAGTTTGTCCATTCTGTCCCTAGTAGCCTGAAATTTTCCTTACAAGTTCTTGTCTTTCCAGCAGTCTGCCAATAGGAATCTTTTGTGCAATCGCCCCCACCATGCCACTGAAAAAACAACTTTTGTTGTTATACGTATACGCGGACTGTCGCCCCTGTCGCTCTCTTCAATAATCATGTCAAGGTAACACCTGGCAGTTGAAACAACTGGAGATGTCCTCTCCTGTTCATCTTACCAGCAGTGATGGTATGTGATGACCACCATTGAGCTCTGCTATTCTCAATTTCTTAACTCTGCCCTGTGCCTTCCGCTGCAAAAACCGCAATCATCTGCTTGCCCTGCATTCGCACCTGAACCCAGGCGAAAAAAATAAACCACAAATTAAAATACATATTCAAATGCTGAAACAAAGAAAAACAATCAAAAACACATTAGGAAAGAGACCAAACAAATACGATCAGATAATGTGAAATGTATGTGTAATGTGCTAACTTGATATCCGTTTGTCATTGTGCGAAAAAAGGTTGATCAAAACCAGTGGTGTGACAAATATGTGTCGTTGCCTTCTTCAGCAGCTCGATGCGCTTCGCGGGCGCCTCGCGCTGCCAGGCGCCGTAGCGCAGCAGCAGTCCTTGATTTCACAAGTGACAAACAAAGTGACACAAATCAGGGCAAAACAGGAAAAACAAAATGCCAACCCAGCAAAACTGGTTTCACATAAAACTTGAGTCAAATTGAAGCACACAACATATCAACAATGTTTTTGGATTCAATCTGCTTTAACAATAATCAACTACAACTAAACAACTCATGGCATGTGCTACTGTACTGCCGATGTCTCTGCAGTGTCTGACTAGGCACGTGCTTCTTCGCGCCTCGCGCTTGTTATGCCTCGGAATTGCAAACAGCATCGGTGCCATCTTTCAAGTTTGATTGTGAAGGAAGACTGAACCAGGGAACAACGCAAAGCAAGGCTCTGTGTACAACATGGCATGCTACAACCCTTGGGCTTGACCAAGTGGTTGCGAACCTTCTTTTCGCCTGCCTAATCTTGCCAGAAAAAAATGAAACTCCTGCACCGAATTATAAATTTGACGTCTTTCAAGACCCGTCAAACCAAGCGCACAAGAAACGCTCCATCAATTCCTTCTGCCGATTCTTCGGCCAATCTTGCATAAGTGCAAACAGTGGACCTCTGTTGTCTCCTAAGTTCTCAAATAAAAAAAATCCAACACACGGGCAAGTGTTGGCTATAGGCATCAAGGATTGAAACTAATTAGCGACCAAAACTTTCCTTCGAAGGTCTACTTAGGCTCGGTAGTTTTGCTTGGTTGTTGCCGACCCCAGTTTTCAAGGAGTGGCATCTCGATCGACCACCTGCCAGGAGCAGTGCACCGTAGAGGGAGGCGCCAAACGCACAAGCAACCAACGCCGTCAGTCGCAAAGTGCGCTGGTGACAGGTAAAGGGATATTCTTCATTTACAGTATAAGTATATATATATATTATATCTATTTATATATATTACTATCGAAGGAAGAAGCCAAACTTCCGACAATATGGGCAGATGGAAAAGTGGAAGTGGGAAGAGTCAGAGAAGAGAAAGGCAGAAGAAAGAAGATCAGAGAAGAGAAAGGAACAAGAAAGAAGATACAGGCGCATGAAAAGGAGAAGAGTCGCGAAACACTGTCTTTGTCCAATGTTTTGTGGCTCTGGAGGGTCGAAAAGTGGGCTCACTAAAGCGGCGGGTGCGGAGCTTTGTGGAGAGATGAGCGATGACAAATTGCATGCCGTTGAGGCGCGACGCACATTTCGAACTCAAAATGTCATAACACCTCATGCTCGGAGTGCTTTGGGAATTTGAGATGTAAAAAAAAGGTCACGCCCTTGTGGCGCGAAGCACATCTCGAAGTTCAAACGTACAAGACACACCATGTTTGGAGCACTTTTGGAAGTTGAGATGTTGATAAAGTGCACGGCGTTATGGTGCAAAGCACATTTCCAAGTCAAAAGGGTAAACACACACCTTTCCCGGAGCAGTTTTGGACGTTGACAATTGTCCGAGCACTTTTGGAAGTTGAGATGTTCAAAAAGTCGTAACGCAACCATTCCCGCATATCACACTTCTTTGAGCAAAATTGCTCTTTATGTCACCAAATGAATTAGTGAGGTCATGCTACGCGCTGCTTCGCTCACGTGGATCTAAATGAGTGCCTCTGTGGCACTTCTCATACATGGCTTGACATGCAACTTTTGCATTGTGCCACATGTGTTGTGCCAAATGTGTTTCTGCAGATTCTGAAGACATCTCTCCACCCGACGTAGAAAAGTGCCAGGGTGCTAAGCGAAAGCGCAGTTTCCGTGGTGCTTAGTGGTACCACATCATGCCGATGTGCTGCCACGTCGATGCCTCGACGAAGCAGGCCTGTGATAGCACGGCACAGCACTTGACAGCATTTCCATCTCTTGGAAAGTGTGATGCCAGCTCTGCGAGTGTCTGAATAATGCTCGGCATTTAATATTGCTAGTTAGCTGCTGGTTGTTATTGCAGGAAACAATATTTGTGTTTTTGTCAAAAATCATCGGCCTTCCAACACATCCATGTATCCACGAAGCACCGACCAAAAGAGGGCAGGGACTGACTTTTGTGCCAGTGCCTCAGAGGGAGGCTGTTCGTCAAAATGCATCGCGCACCAATGTCATCAATGTGCCAGGTGCGCAAACAATTTAGGCTGGGGGATTGATAACATGAAGCCGTTGAAAATCCCCCAGCCTAAATTGTTTGCTCCTTAATGATCTGAATGTTCCTGGAGAAAACGAAGAGTCGACGCCTCTCCGACATTGCGCTCATCAGCGATCTCGAGGAGCACCAATGCCATGTTGGGCTTTTCACAAGAGACTGCCCAGTCGACACCTGCTTAGCTCCACAAATGCGGACTGATGCACGTCATTGGTCATCATTGCAAGATCTTGCGAACTTCAAGACAAGCTAAAAGAATACTGAAACTTTAGCATGCTTTTCACCATGCTTTACCATGCAGGACTCAGATCGACAGAATGTATCCACTGAGGACGAATCTAAATGACCATGAATGACGACTTGAATGACAATACAGCCAAGCGTCAGTTGCCCTTTTCGCCATAGCCCAAGTCGAAGGTCAGTTCCATTGGAGCACCACGCCTCTTGCATTGTTAGATCAACACAAAACCTCTGCACATCATCGAACTTCCACAAAATGCATGCTGAGAAGATTCGAGCAAACAAAGACAGCTTGGAGGCTTCACGTTGCACAATTCTGTCCCATTCCCGTGCAAAAATATGCGAACTGTCACCACAACTCTGCCAGGTGGCTGCACCAGCGCTCTCACGCTGATGATATCACTTTTGCGGATGGCTTTGGACAAAGCCACCAGCAACTCTTTTTGCTCTCGTCGCGCCTCATCATGGCCACACTCTTAAGCACTGCACTACTTGGCACCAGATCTTGGCACTGCTACTAGTGCCAGTACTGCTGGTACTGCTAGTTGTCATTGCATGGCAATGCGGCAATGCCCCAAGTGCGCACCTCTGCAACTGTCGGCAAAGGACCCCATGGCAAAATTTCCGTCGGCTCGGGCACGTAGCCGGGCAAAGTGCTTGGCCTACGATCGCGCGATGCAAGACATTGCATAGGGAGGGCTGTCGGCTGTCGCTTGCTCTTGCTGTACTCATGACATGTAACATTTTTAACATATATTAACAATGTATTTCTCATTATTTCTCTACGTAGGCGTCAAAATTGGGCCCAGAAATTGCTCCGCTGCACCAAACACACACCAAATCTGTGGGTCCCTTCTTCCACTTTGACACATCCCTGGGCTTGCCTGTTTAGCATGTTTGGCATGATCTTGAACAATCTTGAACATGAAGATGTACTGGAGGTTAGAATGATTTAGAATGGTTGGAACTCTGCAATGTGGCTCAAGACCAGAAGAACAGCATTGATTAAGATTCTTGTGATGTAATGCGATGCGGCATGTACAGAAAGGCTTCGGCATGGTTCGGCATGCTTCGCCTTGCCCGCGCAGCTAGGCTGCTTCTTTCCTGGATCTCTGCCCAGGTCAAGTTCCGGTCTTCCTGGAAAAGACTCGACATGCAGACTTGGAACATCAAAATCAGCAAAGCACAGTCACATAAGCAACAAAAGTGAAGCTTTGGTAATTGGTTCGAGGCTTTGTTTGATTCCAGGCCCTTCTTTCTGGACATTCCTTGTCGTTTGCCCCGGCTACATAACGGCAACACGGCTGCATCAAACGCCTCCTTGACATCTGAAAGCACCTGAATTACCTGGAAGGCTGAAAGCAAACCGATCAAACTGAATCTTGGATTGTGCTACTCTTTGCTTCATTTTGATCGCTTCCAAGAGGACTACTACAGCTCCAACATATTCCAACATGATTCTTGGTTTCGGGAAGGGGTGGTCGATTGAAATCACATGCGTGAGGGGAGGAACCACCCACCTCGTGGAAATCGGGCAGCTTGGGATCCAAAGCATTCTCCTTTCGGGCTGCCAGGCCTGCATTTCAGTCCAGACACAAACATCCACTGGCAATCTGCGATGTACACACATAAGCTATCATAGACACGTGCGCCATGAAAAATACCCATCCCATCTCAGTATAAGTTGGTTGATCGGTTTTCTTACCATGGGTTATCATTGTAGCTACTATAAGCCCCCATATTAACCAATCAACTAGGGTGTTTTTGCAGCAATGGCTCGTGAAAGTGACGTATGAGACTTTCACATGCAAACTTTTAAAAAGACGAAACTTTAAGTGACCCGAGATCAGTGTTTTTTCAACATGGGGTTGAAGCCACCCTACGGTGACATGGTGCCTGCTGCTTCGATGATACATTGGAGTCGCTGTGCCTCACGTGGCATGCCATGAGATCATGAATGATCATGAATGATCATGAATGATTTCATGATCTCATGGAAGTATGATCATTTTGATATATATATATATATTGATCATACAGTTGATGAATGTTGATATACTGACAATTCATGACTTATTGAGATATATTGAGCACACATCACATTGAGCACATATCACTATGTTGATCTATGTTGTCTGGAACGTTAGTCTCCGCTGCCAGATCTGCCAGGCCTCTGCGTGCATCAAGACCTCCTCCTTGTGATCTTCCTGCTCCCAAGCACCACGCTCCAAGAGCATTGCTGCAACTTCCTGACAGATTCGTACAGATTCTGCATTCATTGCAGATGACCGGAACATCCGGAACAGAATCTAAATATGTCTTAGATATTCTTAGATTCTAATAGATTCTAAGAGAACAATTTGCTTACAGGACCTTTTGAGGATCTATCGGATCTATCGCTTTTTCTGACGCATTTCTCCTCTTCCCCATTTCGTGCTGCCAAATGCAGAGCTGTGCAGCCGCTGATGGGTTCGCGTTGGATGCAGGAGGCGTTTCGCTGCAGGAGTTCTCGGAGGAGCTGCACTTGACCTGCTCGGGAGCATTCTGTGGTGGTCCACAACCATTCCGTCCACCATTCAAGTTCCGTCGCTTGTGACACCGACACAAATCTGGATGCAAATCATGGCAACAGGCAATTTTCGGCCTCGAGTAGAAGCCACCACCACTGCCTGTTGACATCGCTGAGCCATTCGCACCACCTAGATGGGCGATGATGGGCGCGGGGCGGCGAGCAAGTCATGCGATTTCACAAACAGCTCTGACTTGACCGAGAAGAAACATCCAATTTCAAAGGAAACTACGCAGCTCTCTATCGTAGCAAAGCTGCCTGCAAAGTGCTGCACTCCTCATCACGATTGAAAGCCATTTTCCCATCGGTGAGTTCCAGAAGAAAGATGGCTTCCTGTCAAAGATCGAGTTGTGGGGAATCGGTACATCTTTGCAACCGTGGGGCAATTTGATATCATGCATCGCTTTGACAAGCAACGACTACATGCTCTTTTGCAAAAATGAAATGCGATTCGACTGAATGACAAGCACTTCACAGGTCACAACATATACAAAATACAAGCCATTACAACCCTATTATATATATAGATTTATATTGCTATTGCATGCTATTGCACAACCCTGCGCCTGATAGAAACCTTCTAGAACAGCCCAATCTACTGGATTCACCAGGCTTTGTTTTGGCCCTTTGGACGTGCCATTCACTCCAGAGCCAGTCCTGCACAGCAAACCACGGCTATAACGGCTATGATTTGGGAAAGCATTTCGAAACACATCGAAATGAAGGAAAATCGAAGGAAAAGAAACACATGTCCAACGTGTCCGAAACTGGAATTGTGGAGCTTCCGTCGGCCTTGCTGGCATTCTGGCTGTGTAGTAGTGTGCAGACAAGGAAGCACCTGACAATTCTGTCGGCAAGGTATTGTGCATTACTATCATATACTGTCATGAAGTAGCATTCAGATCATTTAGCATTTCTCATAATATTCTCATAGCTGAGTTGTTGTGCCATGGCCGTGACATGACAAGATATGACAAGGGCAGTGCGGCATCGTTCATCCGCGCCTCGATTGATTGCAGAACGCATCTGCGCAGGGTCCGAGGAGCGGATTCCCTCTGTCAGCTCTGCACGCAGCGCCTGGAAGACTGAGATAAGCTGATTTGTAAAGGCAAGGCGACAGTTAAAGTATGGCAAGGTATATGGCAAGGTATCACAATGCTCGGAATTGAAGCGGATTTTATTCGACATCTTGCCAACACCGATCCATTTCAGACATCTCGAGCGAGTTCGCAAAAGTGCATCTGGTCCTGAAATATCCTGAAGCTCTAAACAGCCAGAAATAACTGATGGTTTCTCCAAACAACCATTTGTGAAGGGAATCTTCACCACCCACAAAACACCGGTTTCTGCTTGCTTTGCGTTCCAGGTTGGCATCTGCTGTTTTCTCTTGCGTCTTGCGTGTTGCATCTTGTTTGGTGCGTTTTTGGCACCAAGGCACTGCGTGGAGCTTCAACAGCTGCACTGGATTGGAGGAGACACGGAAAGGTGTGGCTTCGCCTCGTTGGAACAGTGCCAATGCAGTCCAGGATGCAACAGGTCATTGGACCATATTGGACCAACATGAATCAGCGGGATCCATGGAATCAACACGCCGGATCCATGATCCAAGATCATTAAAGATCAGTAAGGATCATTCAAGAGTCTGTTGGGTATGTCCTGAGAATGTTGCATTGATATAGAAAAGGTGACCGGGTCACCGAGCCTCGCATTGTGAAGCCTTTTTCCAACTCGTTCTCTGTGCTGTACGCGAAGGCTGCGTGAGCTAGGAGCACCTGGGTGAAACAAACCGAAGGCCTTGAGCCCCAGTGCAACCCATTTGCTACAATTTTCATGTTTGTTTTTCATACTTTTTCTGTATTCTTAATTCAACTTCTCCAAGATTTCCATTGCCATGACTCGAATTGACTAATCTGCGAGATGTAAGGCAGCTATCCGCAGGTCTCGTTACTAAAAGCCAAATCTAAATCCTAACGGATCCTAACAATCACACCACTTTCTCGTGCTTTTATGGTTTTGTTCGAGCTAAATTCGCTTCTCTAGTTTCTGGACTTCTTGAAACCTTTACCCAGAGCGCCTTGGCCACTGTCTTGACATCAATCTGACAGCGGAGAATTCACACGAAAACACGTCATCGTATGCAAAAAGCAGCAATCTGATCACCTGGGGCGGATCAATTTCTACTGCCTAAGATTGAGATTTTCAAAAAGTACGTGGCACATGTTTCATGATTATCGTGATGAATACTCAATGAATACTAATCCGTTTCTCATCTTTATCATTTTATATGTGTAGGGAAAGTTGTTCGAGCTGAGCGCAACATGTCGCTGTGGAAAACCGGGGTCCCTTCATAACTGAACTGATTTCACCGGCCTTCTGCAATTCAAAGTCCAAATCCTGCACAAATTCACGAGACTGGAGTCGCAAGATTGGAGTTTTAGTGGAACTGCATTGGGATTCGGATTACATTTCAATCGCATTTGAACCTGGGCGCATTTGAATAGTTGACATGTTTCTCAGTGTTTTCGCCACTGAATCACTGAATCATGACATATCATGATAAAATACAATAGAGAAGACAATTGTGACAATAGAGAAGACAATAGAGAATAGACAATGACAAATCATGACAATCATCAGGATGCCACGATGCCGATGCCCAGGCCTCGGTCACCGTGGCTTCGGGGACCTGGACACGGACACGGCAAGGCCGAAACAGGTGTGGATTTTTCGATTTTTCTGAGAGCGTCTCCAAGTGTGCGGTGTGTGTCTCCAAGTCACCAAGTCACATCTAGTATTGGTTCATGTTGGTTCATATTGTCTAGTCAGTCTAGTCACATGTGTCAATCACGTGAGAACATGTGATATCTAGCCAAAGTTGACAAAGACTTGAAGTGTTGTGAGCACTCATGCGTCCTTGCAACAAATGAAATCACTCTTGACGGCTGTGACAGGAAACAAGATGGTCATGCGATGGTCTTGCAAAGGTCTCATGCAGAGTGAGATTGCGCAAGATTCTGATTGCAAAGAGATTCAGCATTTCTCGTTTGGATTCGTTTGGTCACATGACTTGGAGGGTGAGATTGCGAGATTGCGCCCGCGCCTTGACATCGTCCATAACGTCGATCCATAACAAGTGCTTCACCAATGCATCTGCAGCGAGCTCCAGCTGTTCGTCATCCGCGACGTCTGCAACGTGCGTCGCCAATGCCGCAGCCACAGCGTCGTACTGGGAGTTGACAGGGCGGCAATTCCGAAGCATCAAACGAGGTAACTGGGGATGGGTGACCCTGTCTGAGAATCAGTTGATGGTGGATGTTGGTTTATGGGAATGATGCCGAATGCCGGAAAAACGGGGGATGAAGTTTGGAACAGAAAAGTTGGCACATCGAATGATGGAATAGGATGAATAGGATGAAGAAAAATCAACATGCCCGACACATGTCGCATGTGGCCCACATGGTGCGTCGGTTCGCTCCTGAGAGCCCAATGAACTCAGCAGCTTCGTCGCTGCATCGGTCAGGTGCTCCCCGTGCTCAGCTAAGGCTTCAGCCACGACGCGGAGATCGGCGCTGCGTGGCCGCTCAGCCGGGTCCTGCCAGATGCAAAACAGAGATGCCGTTGCCAACGTTGCCACAGATTCAGATGGGATAAATGGGATAAATATCACACATATTTGCGATTATATGTGTATTTATTCATATGTGATTCATGTATACACTAGGTTTAATGTAGTGACCAATCTTTGATCTACATTATATGTACTGGCGACATGATCTACATATATCCTACATGCTATGTATTCTCCTTGTAGTCTGATAGTCTGTGTTGATCCGTGTTCCGTGCGTCCTGCATGTCCTGCACACCGAGAGCTTGCAGCAGCCCTTGCGCTGCAGCATCCGAGTGCTCGCCCCCGGCATGGGCAGCCAGGGCTTCCGCCACGGCCCGAAGGTCCGGCTTCGCAGGATCCTGGACGCATTTGGCAAAACCAAAATGAATATAATGAGTTTGATGGGAACATATTGGAACTTGAACAAATTCAAATTCACTCAATTTTTGGTCAGGTCAAATTTTCTTCAAAATCACAGATGTGAACACTTTGGACATTTGTGAACGAGTTGTGCTGGTTATTTGGAGCTCAACAACAGTTCTCAACAACCGTTTTGCTTTTCCCTGTCTCCCATCGTTCTTGTCATGTCAACATTGCAAACAGTCTTCATTAACTACAAGTATGATTACAATGGTCCCTTGTGACGGATTGCCCTGTCCGTGCCTCCGGCGCCATTGCTGGACAAGTTGAAAGCGAGGTTTCTTTGATAAATATGATTTGTGGTTTACCTTTTATGACTTTGGCAGACTCTGGAAAACGTGCTCAGGAAACATGGGATACTATGCAAGAAGAGAACAAGACTTGCTTGACATATCATGTAACATCCTTCAAGTCTTTTGTCTCATTTCTGTCTTTGAATTCGGCTCAAAGCACTGCATCTCTTTGAGAGCAGAAACTGCGTCGCAAACTTTGCCCACTCTCCACACTCTGCCTTGATGTCCAGAGAGTCTAGAGCCTAGAGTCTAGAACAATTCAACTCCTCCCTCTACTCGCTACTTGTTCCACAACTTGTGCAATCAGGGTCAGCCAACGGTCGGAGCATGGAGCACTTGCAAGAAAGATTGCACACGAAGAGCCATGTAACTATTCCATTTACATCATTTACCATGTGAGATTAGATTGAGTCCTTAGGCTTCTGTCAACCTGCCACTGTGTTGCAAATAGACGCACACTGGCTGCAGTGTCCGCGCATGCTTCTCTCCTTGTGAAAGCCCAGGAACCAGAGAATTGCTCCTTCCACAACCTCACATGTACTCAAAGTATGAACACTGATCTTTCAATGCTACAAGTTGCTACAAGTACTATTTCTTTCATGATGGAGATTTGCAATGCACTTGGCAGGCGACAAATTCCTCAGTCCACGAGAAAGGTGCAACAATTTTTGGACTAGTCATCTTGACCCGAAGGACATGGCATGCTACACTGCTGCAAGCAACAGAATCGAATCGCACAACCCAACAGCACATAACAGTTTTAACAGCACCAAACGTGACACGGCACCTGGTGACACCGCTGGTGACCGCGCCTCGTAGTCTTTTCGACATGTGATGTCGCTTCCCATGTCCAAGCCTCGGCTGCGCCGCATTCCCCAAGGTTTTGGGCCCAGCTCCGGTTCCGGGCTCCAGTTCCGGGCTCCGGTTCCGGGCTCTCGGACGCGAGAGATGCTCTGGACAAAGTGGGCCAAAATGGAACAGGACCTCAAGTTGAGACAAGTTAGGACAAGTTTGGGAAGCAAAAAACTGGAACTGGATCTGGTGATTCTATGATATTCTATTTGATTCTTGTGACCATGGGAATGCAATTATGAAGTGACGCCATGCACCAGGTTTAGATTGCTCTTAGCATCTCTTAGTCTAATTACAAGCCAAGAGTGAGGTATGTGACAGCAATTTCTCTGGCCTGATCCGTCTCGGAATGGCTCCTCCATGCAACCTGGAGCAAAAACGGAGCTCTCACAGACAGTTCTGCCAAGCACAGCAATTGCAACATCAAAAGCATCGGCATCGGCATGGCCTGGTGAAGAAAAATCACCGCAATCGCATCTTCACGTCGAATGGTATCTGGCATCGGCGAATGGAAGGTAACTGAAGGGAACTGATCTGATAACTGCAACACTGGACAAGTCCTGGCTTGTAGCATAGCCATCCAAGATGATCGGATATCATTTTGATTCATTTTGTATCACAAAATTAATGTAATCTGACAATATGATGCAGCGCTGTGTGCTGTGTCGTGAGATCCTACTGCTTGGAAAGAGATGAAAGCACCTGAAGTCAAGATCAACATCCCAATGTTCACCACTTCAAACAAAAACAACTAGAAATGACTAGAAAGTAATAGTCAACGTTAGTCAACAATCCAAATAAATGGTTGAAATGGGCTTGCTGACTTGTCTCGGGCCTTTCTTACCGATTCTAGTCCCGGCGAAACTCAACACCCTGAGTTGGCCTTTGATTTTATCCTGGTGTCATGGCAATGTGTGAACAATTGTGCCAAAGAGACCGTGCTGCAAGAGCCGCGCATGCGCCTGAACAGGGCAAACTTGGAAAGAAGTTGTATAGTCAAAGACAACAAACGAGACAACAAACGAGACAAACGAACTTGGACATCTTGGACTTGCTCGACTTGGTCTTCCGGGTCTTCCGGCTCGAGCGAGGCGGATGAGGCTCTCCAACAGGCGCGGCGACAGCACAGCCTGGAGTCGCTCTGCTTCACCGTACAATTCACCCACAACGAATCCAAAAACACGTTTAGAATCATTTGGAATCGTTGAAAAACAGAGTATGAAACGCAATATGAAACAGAGTATGACCAAACAACTGAACATCGTCACAAATATTGGGCTGGCCGCCAAAAAGCTACTCACAATGTTCAAACTCATTCAAGTACCCTTGGTGGCCCTAGTGAGTGAGGCTGTTCAAGTTTCTCAGAGGCACATTGTACATCGACATCATCAACAATTAAATGTATGCAATGGTATCCTGCCATTGCATCCAGATCATTGGGCCAAGTTGCAGTAGTGTTGCCTGGGCTGACATGCAAATCTGTGGATATCCCATAGTAGAACATCAGGTGTTGAAACAGTTGAAACACTCAGCTTCAGCCCAACTTTCTGCAGGACACTGTGATCACACAGTAAAGTGTCCTATATCGATCTGTACAGGACTGACGAAGAGATCATTACTGCTAAGGAAATGGAAACTTCATCGTCGCATGCGTCGCCTCTTCGGAGTTTCCGGTAATATGCGTCCAACAGGGAGGATGCATCATCGGCCTAACATGGCAACTGAAATGCTGTTTTCAAGATTAATTACAGCAAGGACAAATAAGATGTTTTTCGAAAAACACATGTCAAAATTTGAGTCAAAAAGAACTTGCGGAATTGAGCGGCCTAAATCATGATATGTTTCACTGTCAACTTGGGCCAAGGCCGTCTCCGAAAGACTAGATTGCTTGGCCACAACGATGAAATCCTGATGATTAAAGGCCCCCATAGGTCTCCGCCACTGGAAGTAGTCTGAGTTTTTTAAAAAGACAGTATGCTCTAGTAGTCCCTGACATTATGATATATTATGAATACATATGGACACGTCTCTGGACTTTTTGGGGTTTAGCTTTGAGGTTAAACAGGATTCAACCAATTTGGAGGCATCTAAATGATAAAACATGATAAACAATGTATTGTTCACAGCAACATTTTAAGTTTTAGTACTTCAAAGCTCATCTGCTCAGCTCCTTCACTCGCGCTGGCTCCAAACTTCCTGGAACTTGACCTCGAAGCTTCTCATGTGAAACATTTCAAAGTTGAGCAAACTGTTGTAGTATTTCGTGAGAAATTTGAAGACCAAAACGCTATTTCATTCCATACAGTCTATACATTTTTGATACAGTCTATACATGTTTGTTCTTCGGTGCCAAATATTGTGCCTTTCTGAATGCAAAGTGTGCAAACGAGATAAACGAGGACAATTTACTGAAGATCCAACCTGCATCACGGTCACTGGCATCCAGGATAGAAGTGATAATCCCTTCCTCGTTGCCACCTGAGGAGCAACACATTCGGCAACTTTCGGCCACTTCGTCTGACTTCGTCTCAGTCCGTTTTTGGCTCAACTTCATGCGACTTATTGCGACTTCAAAACCGCTACAGTCGCTACAGTCGCTACAGCTACTCCAACGGTTCCGCCTTGACTTCGCAGGGCCAATGCCAGGTCAAAGCGGCTCAGCAAGGGCTCTGCCAAACCAGAGAGCTGAACAGGGGCGAAATGGGACGAAATGGGACGCGACAGGAAGACACACGAAATGTGACGAAAGATACGACAGCTGATGGAAAAGAATGGAAGAGATTCACGAAGAGATTCACAAAGAGATTCACGAAAACTCAAAGTGAAGGGCTTGCAGTTGGGCATTGCTACTTGCCACAGAAACCAGTCAAAAACAAACCCAACAAAAGATCGGAACGATCTTTGGCATTTCTGGGTCTCTGTCCTGTGAATCGCTTCCTGTCTAATTTTTCGATTGTTTCTACTCTCAGAAGTGGACGTGACTTGGTGTTGAAAAGATTTTGGAGGCAAGTGGGAGATTCCAGACTAAAGTCAATATATGTCAATAGGTTTCAATATGCACAACGAAAAACCATGTGAACAAAATGCGACAGGGTCAAGTCTTGGCTTTCACTCTCGCCGGGCTCTCGCCTCTTTCAAGGTACATCCCCCTGGTGTCCAACTTTGTGCTGCGATGATACTGCAGCGGGCCCTCGCAGACAGTGGTGGACCTTTCTTCGATTGGAGATCTGAATATCAAAGTGCAGTAAAATGATGTACAATGGGCCAACCGTTGTGGGCTGTGGTAGATAAACCAATAAACCCGTGTGCAAATGCGCAAAGACAGTTCTTGTCCCACTTCATGCACAGGATTTCCTTCAGGTTTCATCTGCAGAGCAATAAGTTTTCACAAGTTTTCTCTTCCAAATCGGGTGTCCTTCTAACATTCTAACTCCACACTTGGCCAACTTGGCGCCTCAGCTGGCAGGCGATTCCTGACTTGGCCACAGAGATGCTCTGTTGCTCCATGGCCTATCGCGTCACATCCGCAATGGCAGTGCAACATGTGCAAAATGTGCAACAACATCAGCACCGAATTCATCGCGTCACAGGGAAGAGCGCAGAATCGGTTTTGAAAAAAGAAACCCGGAACCTTTGCAGTCTTCCAGTGAAACCACTAATGCAACATGAACAGCAATGCCACTCGTGAATGTTGGTGCGCGTGAGGCTTTTCATTTTTCTCTCAGCTGTCCATTTTTTTACAGCTGTTGGAGTGAAACAATCCGCTGGATACCAACAGGATATTGCTTGACAATTGATATAAGTGGTGCACTGGTACACTACAAAGGGGCCTAGAAATTGCTACACACTCTATGCTGAGGGATCCAAACTGACCTAGCATTGGCACAGCCATATGTACACATTTCGGCATTGGCCGAAAATCCTCTCCTGTTCTAACAGGCGGTTGAACATGCTGAGGGCATTCTGAACATCGAGCTGTTCCTTCCTGTCTTTTCTCAATTTTGTCATTTATCGTAGCCGCCATCCCTCATCTTTCAACCGCCACTTGAAGACTTGGCTACTTCGTCTGTCCCCGTCCAACCTCCCCCCTTCTCTGCTAGGAGCCCCATCCTGGCGTGACATTCTGCGTCAAAGTCGCTTTTGAGACTCGTGTGACATGCCTTGAATCCTATCCGGTCCTATTCTCATCCTCTAATCCTCTCATCTTTCATCCCACAGAGTCGTCTGATTCCATCTTTTGTGCCATGACATACCATGACAAATCTTAGCATCGTGACGGTGCTGTGATGGTGCCGGCTTGACCTTGAGAATGTGAGGAGAATGTGAGGAGCATGTGAGGAGCATGTGAGTAGTGCGAGTAGCGATTGAATTCCGCGCCTAACCAGTCGAACTTCAAACCACGCTTTTGAGGAGCCTCTGCAGCAAGAATGATCAAGAATTTAACGATACTTAATGATCAAGAATGTGCAACGGGAATGCGTTGGGTGGTTTGAAATGGTTTGAAGGATGTATAACGGGAATGCTGCAGATGCTGCAGGAAACCCAAGGTCCAAGTCCCAAGTCTCCCGAGGTTATCCGGGGCCTGCAAACCGAGTCGTTCCTTGAAGGCCCGTTGGGCAGCAGGGTTCGTTCGTCTTGCAGCCTGGCAGTGTGGCATACTCCCATACCAATCAGGTCCCTTCAAGACTCAGAATGGATCATCAAGTCTGACATAGTCCGATAGTGTTTGGATAAACTTAATGAATGTTTTGTTTTAGACTTCGGAATTGAATGCAGATGAAAAACAACAAAAACATCCTCGACCCTCCCCTTCCGAGGAAAAAATGGTCGTTCTAAGAAGATAGGTCAAACAACCCAAAAAATGATTCACTTTGTTCCAAACGTGAGGAATTTTGGAACTCTACAAAAATCCGAAAGCTACCTAAAACAACGAGATTTCAGGATTTGCGGGTTTTTGCGTTTTTTTTTTGCGAGGTTTTGCGGATTTTTCCCTTAGTCGTTTGAGGCGCTGCAAACATTTTTTGGCCTTTGTCTCACCAAGCCCAAAAACATGCAATCAAAGTCCTAAAATCGAAGACCAAAGTAGTATCTAGGTGTTTTGGGTAAAATCAGTCGATATAGGTCAAACTCCGAAAACACCTATATTTTCCTAGGATTTGGAGGGTCGAGGATGCTTATTCTATCTAATTCTATCCTTTTCGGCTTGGTCTGCAATGTCGTCAAATGTCCGGAAGGAAGCCACGCCACATTGCACCTCTGTAGATTGCGCAGGGTGTGGTGTTGGCGGCCGCCATTCCCGACCTTTGGACCATGGATGTTCAAATTTAGACGGTTGCATCATGTTGCATCTGTTGCACAGGTCTCTGCGGTGGCTAGTGCCAGATGTGCCAGGGATTCACTGATTCCAACCTTCAAATCATCTGAACTTCAACACGCTTATCATGCTTCAACTATGAGTTTTTTTAATTGTGCTCGGGCCCCTGCGTTTTGCTGTGCGCAAGGGCTCTGCAGTGCCCTCTTCGAAATGAACTACCTGACTCCAGTATCTCCCGTGAGAGACAAAGCGCTCTGTTGGTTGTATTTCAAACTATAGCAAAGCTCTGCTTATTGCAAATCGAACAAAATACATAGGCATAGGGGCATAGCGGCATAACTTGCACACACTAAGAGTTCAAAGATGGACCTCAATCTGGAATGCATTTTGTTCAAACTACTAGACATTGACCATGCTAGGGGCCATGCCAAACCCTGATCGATCCCAGTACTCCCAGTTCCCAGAGTAAATTACTCAGCAAATCCTTGGAATCCCCTCGCCACATCTCGCCACATCTCGCCATATCTCGCCATATCTCGCCTCTCGGGCAAATGGCACACCTGGCACAGGCTCCTCATCCTGGCAGAGCGCCATGGGCGGAAATGAACAGCACGCAGCATGACGGAAAACTGTATAGAAACATATAGGACAAATTCTAGCATTATTTTTCCAGAAACTGAATCCACTTCTCGAGCGCAACTTGATGAACTTGGGCAACTCTCAAACAGCCCACTCAACCTCACCCTCCTGACCTGCATCCGAACCGATGCCGATGGTGCAGGGTCCTGACAAATCTGACAAACCATGGAGGTCATGTGCTTTCAGCACGCCAAGACTCAGCAGAAACGCCAAGTGCTCGCCTGCCGTTTTTCATTTTTTCCTCGCTGCAACAAGCTGAGAACATGTTTGAAAAATGTTCGAACAAATTGAAAAATGTTTGCTGTTTGCCGGTCAGTCAACTCTCTCCACGTTGCTCGCCGTCAGGCATGGAGGTATGGAGCCGTGAGACTTGACCTTTCCAGAGTCGCGTCCATCGCATTTTCAGATGGAACGAACACACTGGCTTTTGGGCCGCCGAGTTTTCGGCGCGAACGAAGTTCTATGTGGTATTTTTGATCCATTTACTGAGAACTCCTCCAATCCATTTGTTCATGGGCATACCTCTTTCACGAGGATTATATTTGTTCATCATGTCAAGCAAATACGCCAGAGCTGCAGACGTTTGCTCTTCATTCATCTTCTGCAGCAATCTCAGATGTCCAGGATCGAAATCTTCCTTCTTAAACTTTCCGTCTGACTTTTGCAAGAACGTGAGGACCTCGTCAGGAAGCTTGTTCTTTAGCCGGACATGCTTGTTTGTTGGCATCAAGTCTCTCTGAAGTAGTCTGTCTCTGCCTTTCTGCCATTCGGAAGTCGGCTGAAACTTTAAAGGATAGCCTTTCTGCCCGAGGGAGAACAGGAAGATCAGTGCAATGTACTCCTCGGTCTGCAATGACCAGTTCTTGCTCTTGGAGAGTGTAGACAAAAGATAAAGAGAAGTTTGACAAAGGATCAAAGGAACAAATCATAATTGTAGCGACTCTACTTCATGGGTCACAATTTAAAATAATAAATAATAATGCTTCCCGAGAATCAGTGTCGTACATGCCAAGGTGGTGAAAGGTCAAGTTGCTATTCTCCGGCCTTGGGACTTGTAGGAAAGATGCCAATCTGTTCATCCCGTCCATCTTTTCTGCCAAAGCCTCCTGCTCTTCCTCGTTCGAAGTTGTCCGTACGACTGCATTGAACACCAGGTCTAAGTCGCCACAATGGACCATGAGTGCGCGGGATTCGTCAAACGTAGGTATGCTCCTCAAAATTCCTCAAAGCTTCAACGAACTCTTGCAAGGCCTTCTGTAGAGGCACTGCATCGCTTTTAGGATTTGTGTGCTTCATAGGTTTTCGAACAGACACCCAGCGATGGAAGCGCAACACTTCACATCCTGCTTCCAAGTCAAGGACAATGGCGGGAAGCTCAATGATATCGGACTTCCCTTCAACATCCACAATGATGGCCCACCGTAGCCCATCACGCTTTTCCGCGGGGACAGGTTCCGTTCGGATTGGAGTAGAGTCCAGCCAGCGCCTTTGCCAGGTCTCTCCATCTGTTGGCACGTGAGTTTTTTCGACCCAGTCACCTGCGCTCCCAACTTCTTCGCGGCACTTTCCGGTAGTCCAACAACCCCCTGCAGCAAAGTACTTGCACGGTATGTCTTGTGAAAGACACGACATGCAATTTTGCTCGCAATCGATTTGCAGGGACCAAAACAGGTGGTCAAATGAAAAGGCAGGTGATCTGGATTCTAGTACATTCGTCCAAAAATCCTGCACTCTATGTAGATCTGATATGATCTGATGTTGTGCTCAACTTATCCCCATGTTAAGCTACACAACCTTGTCTGCTTGGTCATAAACTCTGCAAAAGAAGAGTTGCAAGGCCAATCCTAACTTTTTCACCATGCGCCAAAGGCACCGTACCCTGTATTACAACAATCTAAAATCCCTCGCAAATGTATTTGGTTCCAGACAAATCACCAAACTGCATGAACAACGGGAAAGACCCAGGAGTTTTCCAAGTAAAATTTAAAAAGGATATTGCATGATATTTGCACTGAAGTAAAGACATGTCAGTGGGAGCTGAATAAGATGTCGCAAGTCCTGTGTAATGACATGTTTAACTTCGTCAGCAAAAACTCTGCCACATGGTTAGAATCGGTTAGAAGTGATAGTGGCAGTCCTCGCCGTACGCATCCTGCAATGACTCTCAATTTGAGTCTTTTGATGGAAAGTGTAGTGACACATGATACCAGGGACTGTTTGGCTTTGTTCCTTTTGCTTCCAACAATGTTTCAATTCACTGCACACATACCTCATCACCAGAATAGCAGCGAATTATTCTGTGCCCATTGTGCCTGTTTGCTCAGGCTTTGTCAAGACATTGAGCTGACTGAACTCAACGCCTACCACAAACGCGCATAAAGGCACCTCGTTCAATGAGGGCAGCAGGCCCCGCCGCCGCTTCAGTTTGGACCATAACCTGGTCAGGAAACGAGAGAATCATGAATCATACAAGAAACATACAAGAAACGTGCGAAATGTGGAGGACATTTGGAGGAGTTCGCAATACATTGCACAGATCACTAGGCATTCGCACATCAGTCTCGCTGACTGCTTCAGTTCTGTCCAATGCAGGCCTTGGATGTCACACAGGTCGGTTCCCAAACAGGTGAGCAACAGCAAGGCCAAGAATTCCCTGGCATCGTAATTTCGTTGATTCCTAAAGGGCTAGATTTGTGGAAGGTCCAGAGTTCTTCTGTACCCGAACAAGATTTAAACCAACCGATTCCGCCAAAGCAAGGAATTCAATGTAAATTCCATATTCCCAACCATGGTGTTAACAGAAAAACCAGTTTGTATCGGAATTGACACTCTGAAACTCAATGGCAGTTTGCTGGCACGTCGTCGGGCTGGAGGATTGGCGTCAATGTCCACTTCCTCCACCACTGTGAGATAGCAAAGCACATTCCAAGTGGGAGAAAAACGGCACTTTCCTTGACGAAAAACAAAACAAGAAAGAAAACCAAACTCCAAACTCGCTACGCCTCAACCTCAAAGGAATGCCTTCGTTCACCTCGGAGCAAAGATTGGTGCAGCATTGACGCAGAAATGACTCATCTGACTAGACTTGATCATTTGATTGATCCATGCTGGAACAGATGCCTGGCATTGAAATACAAACATGTACCCACACACACACACACAGACACACAGACACTGACACAAAGGATACACATTCTTGGCATAGGAATAAGCATTTCGCACGCTGTCTAATCCCTTTCTTAAATCACACGATGATTCTGACTGGAAAAGAATGGAACATATCTACGGTATGTCTTACTCTGTCATGATTTCTTTGGATTACAAATGATCACAATATATCACAATATATCACAATATTTGGGACCTGTTTGGCGCTGGGTTCCACTGTGGCATCCCGCCAATCAGCAGCTCCGGATTGAAGCTTGCAGAATTCGGCCTTGGTGGATGGTCCAGCTTCCGGTGTTTGGGTCAACATTTCAAGCAACATTTCAAGAACGACATATACGACATAGAACGCCATAGGGAAAAACATCTGAGCTAAAAAATTACATTTCAACCATTGACATCATTCACATCATTCACACCCCTCTAAGATCCTCTAACACTTCTATCTTTGGTTCGACTCAAAGGTTGCACTAGTTACGTAGTAGTTATGTGCTGGTTACACTCCTGGGTTTCCAACACGTGGCCAGAGTTTGAACTCATCATACTCGATGACGTGCTTGTTCCCGTGTCCTCAGTGGCACAGAGCTGGACAGTTGGACTCAGCTGGATGGTGTAGCATAGCGTGGCAGCTGTTTCCCGCTAGCGTGGCATGTTGCGACACGTTGCCACTTTTCCATTCCCGGTCCCAAAGCCGTCAAAACATCTCATGACATGGCATTTGGATGCATTTGGCCATTTGGCGAATCGAGTCGACTTTAGACGGTAAAGCTCACATTCGTTATCATGGCCAGAAAGGCACAGCTAAGCTCTTTCTGATCGTTTTTGCCAAAGCTTTCGGATTTCCGGTTGTGCCGGTTGTGCCGGTTGTGCCAGGGATCGCTCTTGTCTTCACCTGAGACACCGCTGCCAGATGCTGCCAGATGCTGCCAGGCCATCTCGGTGCGACACAGCGCTGAGGCTGCGGCCGTCTCCAGGATCTGACCTGCGATTCGCCGATTCGCCAGGCGGGTGCTTTGTGGATTTTGTGGATCAAAGATCTGCAAAGATCAAGATTGATCAAGGAATGTCGATCAAAGATTCAAAGATCGGTTAAAAAGATATGCTATAGACTTGTTAGGTCTCATAAGATGCTCAACACTTTCCATAAGTGAAGTAGGAAGTTCAAACTGTCGACTGTCATCACTACTGATAGCATCCGAAAGCCAAGCGAACTGGGCATTTGGCCCCTGTCTGGACCCCAAACCAATCCTTAGACATGGATGGCAGATGCAACTATGATAATCATTAAATCATCATGATCACATTGTGTATGTATATATATATAATGTACGATAACAATGAAGATGGCAAGTGTATGCAAGCGTCCTGAAATTCACAAGGAAGCAGCCATAGGAAGCCGAATTGACAGCATGCAGATTGTCCCAACAAATCTCTCTGGACACCAGCCTTCACAAAATGATGCAAATCTTATCCAATGTTCATTACATGTTCATTACGATGATCTCAAGATATCTCAAGGATCGTCTCAAGGATCTCAGAACCAAACGGCGGGAGCACTGAGGAGGCGAAAGAGCCCAAGACAGAGTTGTCCTACGAAAACCACGTCGAGTCATGTCGTCACGTAGATTAATATGCGGATCACGTGCAACAAAAGTGGATTGAAAGTGGATTGATGATTCAACATGATTCAACATGATTCAACATGCTAGGGCCAGATCGATTCGCTCAAGGAGGCTGCACTCCCATAGAATGCGTTAGCTTGCAACTTGCTTGCAACTTGCTTGCAACTTGCTTGCAACTTGCTGTGGAAAGACCCTCAACAGCCCGAACAGCACAAAGCTTCTTTTTGCCCTGGTCGCAAAGCTAAGGTCCTCCGATTCGGAGTTGATCTCAGAGGTAAGCCGCTGCCTTGGAAGATGCTGATGTGACTCACTAGAACTTTGGACTCCAGTTTGCAGCATCTTCATAACTTGACATAGCTTGATATAATTTGTTTCACTGTACCAGTACTATGGCAGATTTTAGAGGACATAGCTTGTGCAAAATCGATCTGGGGAGGCGCCAAAGGTCCCCTTTCACGTGCTGGGTGCGGGGCATGGAAGTGGTGTGGTTGTAGATGTGATCCAAGATGTTCCGAAGAGCCTGAGGTATGCTGTGCAACGCTGGACGATCACGAAAGGACCTATGCCACCTTTTCAAACTTGAAAACATTGTGAAAATGAGTTGGTACATCCCGTATCACTTTCAATATGATAGCTTTTCAGGGTGAATGTGAAGCAGGGCATTACAGTAGTTTGGCAGTTTGGAGAGTTCCTATGCATGACCTTCGCAGTCACCTGCCTTCTACCAGGACATCCGGTTTAGCTACCTGATTCGTACCAAGACATATCAGTTCGATGCGAAAAACACTACCAGGCCTCCATGTTGAATGTGAGTTGTTTTTCTGAGGCTGTAGGCAGTGGCTGCCGACATGCCAAACGACTTTTGTCCTCTGTGTCATACCAGGTTCACTGTACGAAGCCGTGAGTGATTTCACCAACATCTCTCTGTGTGTGTGTGTGCGTCAACCAATACCACTAACGTCAACATTCAATGTGTATACATACATACATACATACATACATACATACATACATACATACATACATACATACATACATACATACATACATACATACATACATACATACATACATACATACATACATACATACATACATACATACATACATACATAGATACATAGATACATGGATACATACATACATACATACATACATACATACATACAGACAGACAGACAGACATACATACATACATACATATATTAACATATATTAACATATATTAACATATATTAACATATATTAACATATATTAACATATATATAAATAAGTATACTAAATCATATCAATAACGTACGTTGTATTATATTGCAATATATTGAAGTCAGTCGCAAATCATCAAATCAATGGGGGTCGCTCCTGTGACCAGCGTGCGCGGTTCAGCTCTGCTCTGCGCTTGGCAGCATCGCGCATCTGTTCACCACTGAGCTCTTGGGAGATCCTGCACAGCTATGCACAGTGCGACATTTTTGCTGAACAAATCTGAATTAGACTCTCATTAGACATGCGAGTAGTGACTGGAGCATCAAGAGTTTCTGGTGAATTTGTGTCTTCCTCGGGTCCAGATTTTGTTGACCTGGACTACTTGGTCTCCGCGCTCTTTGTCAAAGCTACGTCGATGACCAAGAACTGCATTGGCCATTGGGCCCAACAATCGCTCCAAGCCTACCATGGAAATACAGATTCCTATCACGCAGATTGAACGGATGCATCACATAAGGTCGCCTAAGAATGAACGATCGTAGTCAACATGATAGATCTGCTTTTCACAACACAATTCTTTTTGAAACATGTCAAACGTGGTTGGACACGATGCCATCTTTACAAAAGCTTTTGCAATATGTTGCCCTCTATGACAGCGAATGGCAGCAATATTCCTAGCACCTCTGGTATCTCAGCCTTTTCCTTTCGAATGTCTGGCACAATAAGCATAAATCATATCATACAATCATATAATATCATGTAATATTCACATTACGTTGCCTTCAAAGGTGACAGCAATACAAAGATCCAACGGCTTGTGAAGACATGTGAAGACAGTCGGTGCACAATGGAGCACATTGGATTAGTGAGTGGAGCTCGAATACGACTTCTTTCTCCCTGCGTTCTCGTGCCTTCAGACGCCTGAGTAGAGAAGCCAGATGCTTCAAAATATTCTCCGGAAAATGGTATCAGCTCAAGGAACTCAAGCAAATTTCAAGAAAACTGGAAACGGCATCTACCCACTACTCACATCTAGTCGTTGGAATTAGCACAAGATCACATGAGTTGAGGCGGGTGTGTTTTTTCAAATTCGTTTCATTCAGAATTACACATGTCTTTGCTAGAGTCATACAACTCTTACTCTTTTGTCCCAGTTTGTACTGTGTCTACTGTGTACCACACTCTCCGCGCTTTCCGTCTGTTCTGGTTTTCCTTTGCTTTGCCTCTAGGATCCTCTAGGTCTCTTGCCCTGCACAAAAGCAGCTCCGAACCAGGACGTATCACAAAGTCACACCTCTCCGTAACCTGTCCGGCAGCATGAGAAATCATCCTTGATTCCTAGCTTGTTGACTTTTAATTCTTTGGAGAGTGCGTGTGGAAAAAAAGAACGCAAACCACAGCCAGATGCCAAGCCGAGGCACCTCAATGCAATTGATTTCAGCTGATTTGTCGGATTTGGATTTGTCAATCGTCGGGATGGGCGACTCTTCCTCCACCTGGCACTCTGGTGATCTCGCGAAGTAAAGACAAATAAATCTGGACAAACGCAAACTCGGCAAACTGTGACGAAATTAGAGGGCTTGACATGGCTTGATCATGCTTTCTGGTATTTCTTGTTGTGTTTGCACCTCTTCGTCCTCCATTTCGTCATCAACAGCATCCTTGGGGCTTGAAGAAAAACACCTAAAACAATTCTAAAACACATATAAAACAATCTAAAATAACTACAAATATGCAGTCATATGCAGACATTGTTGGAATTGCCATTGCCATAGAAGCTACAAAGCTTGTGGCAAGCAGCATCAGCTTCCAAACAAAGGGGACGTGTACTCCACAGGGCAGGGGGTCGGAGATTCTTTTGGGTGCCTTCCCCAAAATGTCTATGGAGTCCATGATATGACTGCACATATGCCCAGGCTACCCTTGCAAAGCATGTTGTATTATGACGTACTCTTGTGAAGTGGGAGAATATGATACTCATTGATACTCTATGAATTTCTATATGATATACTGATGTTTGATAAATTTGATATGCTTTGGCACAGGCCCCCACACACGAACGAACATGCAAATTGAATGCTGACAAGTCAGGATTGGACTTTCGCAGCTGATGGTGGCTGGATGATTAAGCTTGAGAAAGTCGAGATAGGTGTATTCTTATTGCTTTATTGCTTTATTGCTTTGCTGAGATAGTTTATTTTGCTTTGTGTTCGCGATAAGTGGTGCTACTTGGTATTTTTATTTTCTTGGTGTGGCAGGAAATCCAGATTCTGAAGGATTCAAGGCATTTCCGCATATCCTCTTTGACTGCGGGCATTTGTTGCTTGGCAAGCTGGAATCTTCAAAATGTATGGGTGCCTGATTTTGGACAAGAACGTCATGCTCCACCTTACTTACGTACATCCAGTACAATCATCCAACTGCCAACACAAGAGCTGACATAAGATGACAAATGAAGGCACCAACTCTCAATGATTCTCAATGAATGAACCAAGAAGATCCAACCCGAAGCCAACTCGATTTCGCTATGCAAAACTGATCTAAAGTAAAGGTTTTGGAGCTGAGAAATCCTCTGCAAAAAACATCTGAGCTTTGTACAGGATCATCGTCTGTCTGCAACGGGGGGACACAAAAGTTTTGACACAGGCACTGGGAAATATTGAAAAGCAATTTCCCGATTGAAACACTTTTATGTGCAGAAACGATCTTGTACCTTGAACAGTGTTTTAGTCAGCAGCTCCTTCCTTGCCATTTTTTACGACGGGATGTTGTGTAGATCAAACCTAGATTTCTAGATTTCTTGACTTCACTCGATCTCAGAGAAGTTATTGGCAGTTTGCATCGCAGGTTTATTGTAACATGCCAGGGCCTTGGTTTGCGTCGTCTTGGGTTTTCGCCCTCCAGCTGTGGCAGAACCGCCAGGCATTGTGCAGCCGCCCGGAACCTCCAGGTTGTGCGACAGCATGTGATACATCCGCGTGCATCAGAATGTATCAGAATGATGCAAGAGGATGCAATAGGATGCAATAGGCATGAACAAGATGAAAAGCAGAATCATCGTCATCATCGTCATCATCGTCATCAAGCCTCCACGCATTGCAAGGTGCTCGGGAACAATGCCTGGCATGTCTATGCAACACATGGTGGATGGCAAGTCATCCCACACAACTACCAAGTCTGCTAGTCGAAGCATTTCTCCCAAATCTTCCACATTACATGACACATGCTTCTGTTTCTGGCGCCCTCTGTGCATCACGCCTCCAACTCAAATGCCAAACCTTAGACAATGAGCCAATATGAGCCATTGCAATGAACAGTTGCACAAACCTCGCCCACTTCTAGTCCCGCTTCGGGGAACTATGCTCTGATGTCACTGGAAGACAAAGCGGCGGCAAAATTAACTACTGAAAGAAACTAGAAGTACTTACTGCCACTGCTTTAAGCTTTGGAAGTTCCCTCACACGCTCAGTGCAACACGATCTGCCATTACAATGTGGCTGATCCTTATTGGGACGAACTCAAATGATCTGAAAGGAGACGACTTCAGACTCTCCAGACAACCGAGAAACACATTGGACTACAGTGAATGGAGTACCAAGTGGACGAAAAATCAAAACGGTCTTGCATCAACCTGCAACTACGTGCAGTGAATTCATTTTGGAACAGAACGTCTTGCCAAGCAAACCTTGTCTCCAACTAGTTTCATGAGATTTCCCCTACAAGAACCACCCTCTTTGAGATTTGCTGACTCTTCAACTCCTTTTTACCTGATTAGTGCTCCGAATTGGTCTGCACCTTGGTTTCCTTCCGAACCTCTTTGCAATTGTTATATGCAGCCAACCTTGCAGACTGTGCAATTCTGTCTTCCTCTTTTCAGTGCTGGACTTGGATTGCTCTGATTTGCTGTGTAAATTCAGCCCACGTTCCCCCCAATGTCTGCAGTGACGTCCTGTCTCCACCTCTCCAAGGCCAAGCAGCGAACGCACGCGCTTGCCCCACCAGTTCGGCTCGCCCACGCTGCGGCGATACATTCGAAAGAGCTTCTCTCCAGTGAGCTGGGCGGTCAACGAGCAATTCTTCAGAATCGAATCAAACTAGGTCAAAAAACCAGTCGAAACCAGCCGAAACCATTCACAATCTTTCCATCCATTAGTTTACGAACATGCTCAAAAGATTCGAAAGTCTAGGAAAAGAGAGGAAGTCGGGGCCTCTTGATTCCTGGCTGCGTGGAATGAAATGATGACGACGCTCCTGGCAACTTCCAGTTTCTGCACAATCGGTGACCAATTTAGCCAGCTTACGTACCAAGTAAGTATATGGGCATCACATTGGAATGTGTGTCCATTTTACATGGCTCGTAGTTCTCACGTTTCAACGCAACATGACGCTACTTCGAAACTGTTTCACGTGCCAAATGAACTGGATTCTGCTGACGTTCGCAGCTAAATGGAATAATTTTCAATATGTATTGGCTATCTATATTTGAATATATATAATATATATATATATGTATATATATATATTATGTGTGTGTGCGCGCCGTGTATTAATTTCTATATCTTCAATTTTTCTGAGATGCCCGTGACGGCCGATAGCGGTCCAGTTCAAACGCAAGAGCAAATCCCAATCCGCCGAGGCATTGGGAGACGCGTAGATGATGCGACCCGGTTTCAGATGCCCTACCCATTTGGCGAAATCCATCAAAGGCACTCCCAAATCCTCAGCTGTCTGACTCTTGGTGCACGTAGCTTTGCGATCCACAATCTATCTTTGATTCTTCACTGTGGGCAAGTGCAGTTCCAATCATAACAAGAAACAAATTTAGGAAACTAGTGGAAAGTGCCAACTCCAGAAATTTGTTGCTTTAATGAGGCAACACAGGCCACAAACAGGCCACAAACAGGTGAGTTTGACCAAACAAACCATGACCGTTTTTGCTTTCACATCTTGTGGAAGTCTTGAATATCCCTTGCTGCAAAGTTTCCACTGCCAAACCACCTGGAATGAATTCCTGCACAGGCAGGGTTCCGCTCAGTGGGCGACTGATCGCGGTGCTTTGGTTTCAAACATCAAGTAGAAGTCCGATGTGTGCGTCACGCACGGAATAAAAACAGGACAGGTGTGCACAAATGCATCAGCCCGCATATGCCATATGTCGTATGATGTCTTATGATGCCGTTTGTCGTGGAAATTGGACACTTGGAGGCGTGATTGCTCACAGGTGTCAGTGACAAGGTCCGCGTCCAGGATTGTGACGGAACTTAAGCATTTTTTTTTTCAAATGCGCCGCGGGGTTTGCAAAAAAATCAAAAGGGGAAAGAGTCCAGAGATCTGCTCAGAGCGCCTACTCCACGCAATGTGCGTTTTTTCCCGGTTGACTCCGTCTCAGACTCTTTCTTTGGTTTGATTGAACGGAGCACAAGCGTTCACTCCGGTCAAGTTTTCGTGCATCTACAAGTCACCAACGTCGAATTTGGTGTCCCACCAAGCTCCGCCGATCGGCAATACTCCAGTCGTCAATTTGATGGCAGCCAGTCTCACTCTGGTGGAGCAATGTGACCACTCCTTGAACTCAAAGGCTCAAAAGCAGTTCTGCCTTCACAAACTGTAGTATGCTATATGCATGCTGACAGGACAGGCCCAAAACGAGGCGCGACAAGCGTCGAAATTGAATTCAAGGGCGTGTCGCTGTTCACCAAACTTATCACACATCCCGGCTTGGCAAGTGAAACACAACAAGCTTAACACGATATGTCATCGCATTTTGAGCACTTCACCGTGAACGGGATTAGAAGCTCTTGAAAAGAGCACCGGAAGGCAACCAACGACTCTGCAGATCCTTTGGAGCAAGTGCAAAGACATCTGCGTTCATTTTGTTGGAAACCATGTTGAGCAGATATGGGATCAGGACGTCGAAGCCACTGCTGCACAAAGGCCTGGAATGTTGCCACGCGGCTGCTCCCTGTTCTTCCACAGGGCCTTCCTGCGCAAGATGCTCTTCTTCTCCAGCTCGCCCAGCAAGGCCACTGCACTGCTCAGGCTGTCGACCTTGTGGCACTCACAGCTGTTGGCGGCTGCGATCACAACATTGCCGAGCTCAATTCTCATCTGCACATGTAAGGTTTGCTCCACTGGCCTTCTCCGGGGTTCCAATGCACCCGAATCTGCGGGATTTGGCTCAACTTCATGTGGGCGAATTGTTTCCCGCAATCTTTAATGATGAAAAGTCTTGTGGCCATTTGCTCATCCATACCTTGACTGGAGCTTTTCAGCATCAGCATGAGGATGATACCGTAGGGAACAGCATGGGATGGAAACTTGAAGGATTCCAGCTCCTCCTTGGCCTTCTGCTCGATCACATTCGTCAGATATCAGCATGGAGGAGCACGTAACTCAGGTTGTACCTCGCATTGCCGAGTTTCCTTCCTCTGGTATTTGTGAAGGCGCTGGCCGCCGACTCAGCGACATCGCCTGGTCGGCAGAGACGCGCTATCTACTCGGTCAGAGCCATTGCAGTAACAGGTCAATAAATGGAAATACAGTATCTCTTGGAGCTCTGTGTACGGAAAGAACTATTATATAGGGAACGGGAAATATATGTGTGTATGTGTGTATGTGTGTCTGTATGTCTGTATGTCTGTATGTCTGTGTATGCATGAATGAATGAATGAATGAATGAATGAATGAATGAATGTCTGTATGTATGTCTGTGTATGCATGCATGCATGCATGCATGAATGAATGAATGAATGAATGACTGAATGTTTGTATGTCTGTCTGTATGTATGTATGTATGTATGTATGTATTTGTGTGTATGTATGTGCGTATGTGCGTATGTATGTATGTATGTATGTATGTATGTATGTATGTATGTATGTATGTATGTATGTATGTATGTATGTATGTATGTATGTATGTATTTGTGTGTATGTATGTGCGTATGTGCGTATGTATGTATGTATGTATGTATGTATGGATGTATGGATGTATGGATGTATGGATGTATGGATGTATGGATGTATGGATGTATGGATGGATGTGATCACATGTACATACATGCATGCGTGCATACATACATACGTACATACATACATACATACACATACATACACATACATACATACATAAATACATACACACACATACATACATACACACACACATACATACATACATACATACATACATACATACATACATACATACATACATACATACATACATACATACATACATACACACATATACATACATGCATGCATGCATACATACATACATACATACATACGTTACAAAAATACATACATTATATACATGCATGCATACATACATACATACATACTTACATTACATTACATTACATTACATTACATTACGTACATACACACATACATACATACATACCTACCTACCTACCTACCTACATTGCATGCATGCATACAAAACATACATAACATACATACATAACATACAAAACATACAAAACATACATACATACATACATACATACATACATAACATACCATAACATAAAATAACATAACATAACACAACATACAGAACATACATAGCATACATAACATACATAACATACAAAACATACATACATACAATACATACATAACATACCACAACATAAAATAACATAACATAACATAACATACCACAACATACATAGCATACAAAACATACATAACATACAGAACATACATAACATACAAAACATAAATAACATACACAAGATACATAACATACATACCATACATATCATTCATACATACATACATTAGATTACATTACATTGCATTACGTTACGTTACATTACGTTACGTTACATCACATACATACATACACACATACATACATACATACATACATACATACATTCATACATTCATACGCACATACATACATACATACATACATGCATACATACATGCATACATACATACATACATACTTACTTTCTTTCTTACTTGCTTACTTACATACATACTCACATACATACATACATACATACATACATACATACATACATACATACATACATACGTACGTACGTACATACATACATATATATATATTTATATACACATGGTATAGAGCGTGTAGGGACATGAAAAACGCAAAATAAGCATTCAGACAGATGCTATCTCTGGTGTACGAGAATGCTGTATGGTTCACTTCTCTTTCTCCGGTTTGAACGAAGAAGACCATCTGTCTAGTCATCCGAAGTTGAGAAAAACAACGGCAAAAAAATGCCGACAGCCGAGACACAGCTTCCGGCAGCTCTTGGTTCGAGAAGCTCCAGCAGTCAAGAGGCTCAGGCTGTGGGGCTTTGAAGTGCTAGAGTTTCGTCGTGATCTTCATGGTCTCATTCCATTCTGCCTCCTCCCATGTCTCCCCCGACTAGGAAGTGCTCCTACCTGCTGATTGAACTTGCGCATCTTTTCCTCACCTTTCATCTCAACATACCATATTTGATAAGGTGCTGCTTCCTCCAGGGCTCCCCGCACCCATTTCGGTTGTACTCGGTCGTACTGATTTCCCTCCTTACTGAAGAAGACGCGGTACAACATATGCCAGCAGCCCCACACCGCAGGCTCAGGAGCACAATCACCACAGAGCACAAGGCGCACCATCTGAGTTGCCTCAGACAGTCTGCTTCACCTGAGAATTCGAAAAAATTGATGGACTAGACATCTTGTCTAATCGTCCAAAACCGCCAAAAAACACATGCAAAACAAACAACAGCGTTGACACATGATTCCTCTCTATATCTGTGTGTGTGTGTGGGGAGATATGCCTAACAGCTTCAGATAGCAAGAGGCACTCAATGTTGTGTTCACCCTAATCGGTCAGGTGGAGGAGGAGGCGGTGCAGGTGCAGGCGCCTGCACGGGAATGCGCAGCTTGACGAGCGCCCCATCGCAGTGCCAATTCGCTTCTGCTTCTGCCACGGTGAGACGGCCTGCAAACCAAATTTCGGCACCTCAGTCTGGTCGGTGTCCAGCTCCTCCAATCCCCCGTTTTCCTCCATCACCAGCAGGTTGCTCCACATGCTCAAAGCTGAAGGCATTCTCCTCGCTGTAGCCAGTCTTTGTCAAGAGGTCAAGGCATGTCTTGCATTAAAGCTTACCAGAGCATGTTATGCATGTTGTGGCCAACTTGGTCATTTTGATTGCAATTCTGCGTGCTTGCCATCCCCACAGCTGCCGGCTTTCTTGCTCCTGGCTGCCTGGCTGCTGTCCATGGCCCGCATCCAATCAGGGTAGCCCACGCCAATGTGAGCAAGATACTTCCTGATCTTTCCCAACTTGACTTCATACTTGGTCTTTGCTTTTCTGCCTGGCCGTGTCCTCCTTTGTTTCTCGTTATCCTTTGCCTTCACCTCGTCAGCCTCTGGGACATCGAGCTCTGGTGCATCTGCTGCCTCTGGCGCCTCCTGCTGCCTCTGGCGGCAGAGCGGCATCTGCGGCTCTGTCTCATCTCAAGGTTTGTTTCCTTGGGGGGAAGCCATTCAGGTGTTCGAGCATTGTCTAATGCGTGCTGGGTTCTGCTGAGAAAGCGCTTCCTGGCAGAAGGTGGGGTGCACAGATCTACGCGCCCCGGGAACAATCGCTTCATTTTTTTGGAATCATTGGAAGCTGTGGCAGCTCGCTTTTGCAGCTGGCTCCAAAAGCATGGTGGAAAAGCCTTTGGACTGTGACAGAATCTTTCCCTAGAAGCTATGCTTGGGAAAGCTGTTGAAGGATTGCCTTGACACCTTTCATGTTGAACGCATTCTGAGGATCGACATGCCCGCATTGAAGGTCACAGTGGAGTGATGACGCGATTTGCGTGCATCCAGGGGCAGACTGCTCACCTAGTGTCGCAGCCTCCCATATCACGGGACTGCCCCTAGGCAGCATGCTCGGGCCAGAACAAGAAAAGGATTAACTGCCGCCTAAATCATGTTGAATTCAGAATTCAAATCTTCTTGCCTGGCTTGAAAGATATACCGATATACCCTGCCAAACTTAGCCTTTAAATTTGAATTGCGAGACATTGGATCAATCTGATTGAGGATTGTAATGCTTTGACATATCTTACATTCTGAGGTTCGTATTCCCTGCTGCCTTGCCCCACTCGGCGAAGTTGGCGTCGAAGCTCCGCGACCCAGGTAGCTCCGCGCAGATCTTCGGGGCATGGAGAAGGGGCCTCGGCAGATCTTCGCAGATCTTCGCAGATCTCTGAGTCCAGCATTGGCCACAGGAAATCTCCAAATCCATGACAATCCTTGACAATCCTTGACAATCCTTGAGTCTCTCAGCTTCTCCGAGTCCTGAGGTGTTTTGTTACAGATTCAACTTACAAAATCCCGTACCGCCGCACCTCTGGCAAAAGTCGGCACACATGTCGAGCTTGGCTGGTAAATCCTCAGTACATCTTGCAATGACATCTTGCAGGTCACACATTTGCTGACCTTGAGGTGCAACATGGTGCAACTTAAATCTTGTGGTGCGCCTTGACACTTGAGACGAGCTTTGAAAGGAACGGAAAGACTTCCTTGAGACGAATCAGCCTCGAGCGCAGTTTGCTGTGCACTTTCTGAGATGTTTTTCGAACCTCTCAACATCATCTTGACATATCTTGACTCGCCGGTCAACGAAGCCACATGAAGCATCATGAATCCACTCTTAAACCCACTGCGAAATGCCAAGCAGCTTGTCCTCAGGTCGAAGCACCTCGACGATCGAGGTGAAGAAACTCTTTTTTGATCCTTCCCAATTCCCATATTCCCATACATCCCGTGTTACATCCCATTATTTGGTTTTTAAATGTTTCTAACGCGAATTTGGCGTTTATGTACACTTGTACTCTGTGCATCCTAGTGTAACCTTTCGTCTGTGGTGCCGTATCTTTGATTTTTTTGAGCCTAGCGGCGTAGTACTCGTTCAGCAATTCGAAGGCCAAGAGCACACGAAGACAACAACTCGTCGAAAAAAAGAGGTGATGCTGCTGCTGGAGCCAACCGGCCAACCTCCAAAATTCAACTTGGTCAACTACCAAGCAGACACAAGCTTTAGAACTTTAGAAGGCTATACAGTATATATATAATATACACATCAAGCCTTCATCAAGCCTTCGTCAAACTGATTGTTCTCTCATCTTACTCCATCACGTGGTGCCTGGTCCAGTAGCGCGACGCCGTGTGTTCCTCCTCCAAGAGATATTTAGACCTCAGGAAACAGTGGAGAAGCACGTCCAACCTGCTCCGGTTCGGAGTCTGCGTTGAGTTTGTTCCTGAAAAGGACATCCACCCGTCCATCGTGCATCTCTATCTTCTACGGTGAAATGCAAACTCTTTGTATATACTCAGATGCAGTCGAGGCGTGATTCTTTAAAAACATTAAAAGGCTCATGCTGTCCATGCCCATATTTCTGGGATTCTGCAAAAGCGTTTCAGCTTGGTTTCGGTTTAGCAAGGTTCGTCACTTTGTAATTGGGCTCCCGGCAGCAAGACCAAGAGTGAGCCAGTAGTCCAAGCCATCCAAGTCTCTCCATAGGGTCCAGCACAACGATGCGTCAAGACATCCTGTGGCATATGGCACTGCACGGCAGTGCACAGTGTCACAGTCGACTGATGTCGACTGGGTGTCTTCAAGACTGAGTTTCTGCTCAGATTCTCCTACTAAACGTGGATGAACGTAATTCCACCAGGTGACCCACGCATTGTGCGCAATCCGATACACAGGTAACAAGTCGGAGAAACGTAGCTAGCGAAGCCGTCCAACATCATTTTCTCTTTCCCGAAGCAAATCAACATAGATCAGCCTTTCAACCACGCAGAATTGAATTTCAGGCGATGACAAAACACGAGCGCCTGCAGGACTTGCTCCTCCAACATGGCTTGTGGCAAACTGATATGGAAAACACCGGAACCCAAGGGCGAAGTACCTGCGATGGGATCAAAACACATCGAGCAATTTCAAACATCGCCGATCACATCACCAGGGTCATCCTGGAAACGAAAATTGACTTTGCCACCAGCATTCCAAACAATATTGCCATTCATGTTTTGTTGCCTTGGCAGGGGCTTTAATCGCATCTTAGATGCGCTCTATCCATCAATATCCTACAAGTGAAATGCAATTCCAGTCCCGCCAGAAAGAGCACAAGCCATCACAAGCCTACCAAAAGCGCAAAGATTTGAAAAGGCTCACGTGCGAAGTGAGTGCTCGGCATGCTGTGGAAGATCACAGAGAAACCCATAGCGAAGGCCTTGTAAAGCTCTGTGAAACGCAACTGGCTCTTGCAAGCTTTCACTTGTGACTCCAAATATTCTGGAAAATCCTAGAACTATCAGCAAGATCGTTTCCCACAAGTAGGATGCTCAAAAGAATAGATAGGTCGCAAATGAACGCTCCACACTTGTCTCCAAAACTAAGTTGCCGCCAAGAGAAGTGGCTTGCTTTGGTCAAAGGGAAATAAGTAAAACTAGCAATTCCAAGAGCAGCATCAAAAAAGAGCTCAGTCCAGTATATAGTGGGTTCATGAGAGAAACAATGGAAGCTGACCTGACTCAACAGCTATTCAAATAAGTCAGGTCAGCACGTTCCATTTCACTGCAAAGCTCTCAACAGCTTTACCTCGTGTTTTTTGCAGTGATGAGGCCAAGCAACACCATCTGCCAACGTGGCCATGATGCGGCCTCGAACCCCACAGGATTCAGCACTTCAAATGGCTTCACTTTTTAGAAACATCTAATCGACATATGAATCATCCTCTTAATCCTCTTAATTCCATATTGATTCATCCATGTCTCATATGTTTCTCAACTTGAAAGTTCACATGCTGTGATTCTTCGTGGCTGCTCGGATCACTCATGATCACTCCATCGGTGATTCCGAGTGGCGGGAAACAGGCGGTGCTGGCTTCTCCTTGGCCTCCTGTCGGCGAAGGACGCAAAAGATAGAGCAACGATACAATGCAACAAATCGGATCGAATCGGAACATATCGATGAAACATGAAGCATGATGCAACATGATGCAGCAATACAAATATGGAAGACCAAGCACGGCCAGGGCTCTGCGATGAATTCCTGTATGAGAAAGGGATTGATCTGTCTCCCGACATTCACTTTGATATGTTTGGGTCGACGGTCTGTCTATGTCTTTCCAAATTGTTTTTTCCTTGGTCTTGGAATATGTTGTCATACAGAATGACAAGTAAAGCCGAGTCCACAAAGAGTGACAAGACGCGACAAGCCGCGACAAGACGTCGAGTACGGGGCCTTGGCTCGTACGGAAAAGTCCTGTTCCGGCTCCTCACCTGGCTAGGACGCTCGACGCTGTGCAGAATCTGAACGAGTTTTTGTGTGCCTTCTTCTGGTGCCACCTCAGGCTCATCCTTAACACCTCAGCACTTTGAACTCAAGATATCTCAGGATCACTGCAAACGAAACAAACGGAATGCAAGAAATGTACGACAATGTACGACATATTACCGTGCAGTAGATGGAAAATCAGCTGTATAGAATTGCTGTGCTACCCCCAGAAAACGATCTCAGGATTCCTTTACGCAAGTCAAGACAGTCAAGACGGTCAAGACGGGTACTGACACCTTTGCTCGGAAACCGCTGCTGTGAAGTCAGACCAAAAAAGTATTGGAAAAGGCACGTGGCTAACATGGACTTTTTCCAATTTGCACCGAATTGTTTAGAGGAAAAACATGTACCCACGTATAACGACCAACATGGCACATCTAAAGAGACGCGTTGGGATAACGCGGGTTGAGGCATTTTAAAGGAAATTCCAAGGGGGAATGCGCTGGCTTGGCTTTGTTTTTCTGATGGATTCTGTAAAATAGGAATGGCTTCAGAAACTGTCTCACTCGCAACATCTCGCAACTGGGTTTGGAATTCCCCGGCACGTAGAAATGCTTCGAACTCCAAGAAACCAATAGTCTCAGTGGGGGCCTCGGACGCAAACAACATCAGGCAACAAGGTTGAAATCCTCTTCACCATGTGTTCAGGAAGTGCCTATGTGATCTACATCGATCTATTATGTGTTTCTAATTGTTTCTACGTGTTTCTACATGTTGAAAGGTGGCGCATTTCTGCACCGAGCAACGAAGTGCTTCAATGGCAGCTCCACGGAAGGAAAGGCGTTGCGCAGGGATGCGAAGAGCAGAATCGCGCCGCAGCTGAGACCTGGCGCGCTGACACGAGAGACGGAACGACGCCGTAAAAGACACACGGTGAGTGTCACCGTGAGTGTCATTCAGGTGTCATGTAAAGATATGTAAAGGACATGTGTAGCCGAAATGTGACGTGACTTCAAGCGCAGCTGCGAAGTTTAAGCAAGCCGGATCGCACGCAGCCGTGTGAGTTCTGCTGTTTCTTTCCTCACAGGGACACTGGGCTCAGTTATGCTCAGTTCTACAGATTCAAAGCAGAATTGTTTCAGGGCCAATGCTTCAAAGCATTTCACAGCATTCGCTTCGTTCTGCGTCCTCTCAGAGCCGCGACCCTGCCTCAGACGCCATGAAGTGGGGACCGAAATACAGGTGCTCACAGGCGCTCTCAGTGTTCTAAACATGCGTGTTGTGCATTGCTGAGCAATGCGGGTATTTGGTCCAGTTTGGCACCCAGTGGCAGGCACACACTTTATGTGAATAGATCAAAGCACGTCTGATGTGGATGACACGAAGACTGTTTTATTTGAGAGTGGACGACAAAGCATGACAATTGAACCATCTTCCCTCTGATTGCTGGCAAGGTTCCGCCAGAAGAGATTCAAAGGTCCTGGGCAACGCTGGAAGCCGAACAGATTTACTAAACCGCACAAAACCACACAAGCGAATTAATTCAAAGACGTGCGCATATGGGCGCACAGTGTTCAAAGGCACGGATGTATCATGACGCATGCATTGTGTGGACAGTATGCCGTCTCAACGTTCCTGAACCACTTGGCCCAGTCCAAGCCTTCTGAGCATTCCATTGAAAGCACCTTCGAGATCTCCCCCTGCAGTGCCAATGCCACGGCAGTGTTTTTCATCCTTAGAGACATTGTTGGACTCAGATTCCACCATGAGGTCATGCCGTATCATGCCAAGCGCTGATACAAAACAACCTGCATCAACCTTCATGAGTTTCACATAGTTTCACATAGTTTCACATAGTTTTACATAGTTTCACATAGTTTCACATAGTTTCAAATCATACTGAACACGTCATACATATTAGTTGAAAACCAAACAACTGTTGAAAAACCACCTTTGACAGCTCGTCACAGATTTTTCTGCCAAAGGGGCAAGTCCCCTGCATCGAAGTCGCGCGTGTCCACTTGCGCGGGCGCAGACCGAGCTCGCTTCTTGACGCCCTGCAAAACACGAAGTTACAACACATACACATCACATGATCAATATAGTAAGATGTCAAATGTAGATAGATTTAGCAAGATATAGTAAGATATAACACACATACATAATACAGGGGTAAGGGACCAAAGCTACCAGGGAAGGCAAAGGGAGGAGGAAAGTGTGGTGAAAGAGCGGTGTGTGAGGAATCGGGAGATAAGAAGTGGAGAGCAAGCCTGATGAATGCTGATGATGCTGATTGCGATGTTCTGACGACGATGTCCCAGGGGAGGATTGAGCCACGGCAAAACTGCTTCCAAAAAAAAAGGTGGGAGGGGGAGTGGGGGGAATTAACTCTAAAGGACTCTAAAGTTCTTTTAATTGCGATTTCAGCCCCTGCCAATACCTTGCTAAAGCAGAGGGACTTCAGCTAGCAAAAGCTAGCTTTCGCTGTAAATCAAGATACAATCTCACACTGGCACAGCAACATCGATTCATGGGCTTGCATACCCTGTTTTTGCTCTTTCTATTGGACCACATCACATCAGTTTCGACAGCTTACAGGATGGATACTCGCATACGAACAAATGAGTTCTACTTTGCGGCACCTCCCGTCCTCCTGTGTTCCCTTGCATTTTGTTCGCATTTTGGCACCCGGCTATTTTTGATTGTTTCGAGTTGGAGTGAATCTCAGGCTGTGCTTTGGGGAGCACGTCAAGCCGATTTGCTCTGCATTTTGAGTTCTGTCCTGGTGCGATCGTTTACTCAACGCAGCCATCTCTGCCAGTTGCTCTGCAAAACTCTTTGGATGCCTGCAACAGTCACACTGGGGCACAACAGCTTGACATTTAGTCTTGGGGAAGATCGAAACAAATCCATGTCTGCCAGATTCCCAATGGATGCAGTGTCCGGATTTTTTTTTTGGTGGTTGCTGAAGCTAGAATCAATTTCTCCCTTAAGCATTTCAATCATGGGAAAGCTACAGTGGTGGGTGTAGTACACCTTCTTGCTTAAGTCTTCGGTCCAAAAGAAGGTAAACATGTAGTCTGTGCCTACTACCTAGAGAGAACCAAATCAGAACATTGACACTGTTAGGTTTGCTGTTTGGTTCCCTCTGTCAGCTCCCTGTTGATCCATGGATGAACCATGCATGATCCATGCCATGTCATGAAGCCACGCCATTCTGTCAGTTGCTGTGCCTTAACTGCGGTGCTGTTTGTGTCCGCTGCAAAGTGCACGGAATGCGCGCAGGGGCCTGGGAAGCGGATACAAAATGCAGCCGTCCCGACCGGACAAGGCCCGACAAGGTCTAGGCCCGACAACATCGTAACTCTGACTCAAGTCAAAACACAACTGCAGAGACAAATTAGACGAATCAATTGTTGACCCGTTTGTTGATTCGTGGAAACAGGTGAGGACTGGTGGCATCGCAAGGTTTCACCAAGGAACTACTTCTGGCAATTCCACATCCTGCTGAAGGCGGAAAGTGTAATCTCTCAAGGACGCGTCACTATGACAACATTGTGACAACAGCCGCAAAGTTGCATGCGCAAGCGATCGACATGCTTTTGGAATTCCATACATCCTCCGGTCCGCTGCAACATGTCTTACTAGATGAGCCAACAAATCATCCTGTAAAAACCCGCAGTCAGTGTACTACCCCATCGGTCTTACTAGAAACGGGTGTCCTGGATAAGATCACATGGATTTGTTTTACCTTTTCCATATACCGTACAATCCTAAAATATCCTATACATCTGCTGCAGACTAACGGACTAACGAATGGTTCGTTGTGGTCCGGCACGAGTGGGTCCAAATGTTGCGTCCTCCACGATGGGTGGAGCCACATCAGGCCGAAGATCAGGTGAGTCCTCATAGCGTCAAAAAAAAGATGCAATTTGCTGCAACCAATGTGGCAACCAATGTGGCAACCAATGTGGCAACCAATGTGGCAGTATCTGAAATGTCTTCACATAATTTGTTTCTTCAAGAAAGTTCCTTGCAACCACCGCAAACTTTTTCAAATCGGATTATTTGCAAACCAAGATGCATGGATTGGAATCCGGCCACCCATTCGACCAGGGGCACCAACTGGAAGCCTTGCAGCCACAGCCAAGAAAAATTCTTCTGTTTGGTTCAGACAAAATCCAAAGATGTTGGGATAAAATTACTTTACTTCGTGTGATCCCCACCATGACATTTATACATTTTCTTGCTGGCAAATCTTCTGGCATTCTATCTGACATATCTTCTGACATTCTATCTGGCATATCTTCTGGCATATGATCTGGCATATCTTCTGGCATTCTATCTGGCAAATCTTCTGGCATTCTATCTGGCATATCTTCTGGCCCTCTATCTGACATATCTTCTGGCATTCAATCTGGCATTCTATCTGGCATATCTTCTGGCATATATTCTGACATATCTTCTGGCATTCTATCTGACATATCTTCTGGCATAAATTCTGACATATCTTCTGGCATATCTTCTGGCATATCTTCTGGCATATCTATCTGGCATATCTTCTAGCATATTTTCTGGCATTCTAACTGGCAAATCTTCTGGCATTCTATCTGGCATATCTTCTGGCATATATTCTGATATATCTTCTGGCATTCTTTCTTGCATTCTATCTGGCATTCTATCTGACATATCTTCTGACATTCTATTTGGCATTCTATCTGGCATATCTTCTGGCATATATTCTGGCATATCTTCTGGCATATCTTCTGGCATTCTATCTGGCAAATCTTCTGGCATTCTATCTGGCATATCTTCTGGCACTCTATCTGACATATCTTCTGGCATAAATTCTGACATATCTTCTGGCATATCTTCTGGCATATCTTCTGGCATATCTATCTGGCATATCTTCTGGCATTCTTTCTGGCATATCTTCTGGCACAGATTCAAACAACTTCACTACGCACATGCATGACAAGCTGAGTCTGGGGAAGGGTTTGCAGCGAGATGAGAGATGGGGACCCCAGCGATTTGTCGCATGTGTAGTGTGTGCTGAAAGACGTTGGTCAGAGGAACTCATTCCGACTTTCATTGCTGGTGCGAAGACTGAGTTTCAGAAAGAAGATAAAGTTTGTTTGCTATTAGACCCAAAGCTGTATGTGTCAACTTGGCCAGAGGTGCCATCGGAAGAAGTCTTCAAGTCTTGTCCAACTGTTCTGTTGCAAACAGGTGATAAAGTCCAAATGCTTTTACACAAACGTCGCGTGACGAAACGCATGTGCACAGGCGAGGAACAAGCTCCTTTTTGCAAAGAATGTAGGCGGTGTTTGATCAAAAACCCACCTGAAATGCCTGTGCGAGCTTTGGCTAACGGAAAGTGGCTCGGGCGACACCCAGAGTTGATGCGCAGGATGCCATATGGGCACAGAATGTTGTTGCCTTTGCGCAGGGTAATTCTCACCAAGGTATTTTTTACGGCCAACAGCAAGAATCCTTGGGAACGGTCGCACTCTGCATTTGGACTCGATGGCGTTACCACCATCGTAGAACAAGCGCCCACCTTGCCACCAAGCGGCAATTTGCAGAAAAGCTGATGTAGAAGAGTGGATTGATGGTGAGACGCCCGAAGTGTTGCAAAAGACTCTTGTTGACGCGCCTGTGGAAGAGTTGGATGAAGAAGAGGTTGAAGAGTTGGCAGGCAGAGCGGATTCCAACAAATATCGTGGCCCTGTGGATTCTACACTGGAGGCGCAAGAGTTGCTGGAAAGCTCCATTTGGCATTCTATCTGGCATTCTATCTGGCATATCTTCTGGCATTCTATCTGGCATATCTTCTGGCATTCTATCTGACATATCTTCTGGCATTCAATCTGGCATTCTATCTGGCATATCTTCTGGCATATACTCTGACATATCTTCTGGCATTCTATCTGACATATCTTCTGGCATTTATTCTGACATATCTTCTGGCATATCTTCTGGCCTAATCTTCTGGCATATCTTCTGGCATATTTTCTGGCATTCTATCTGCAAATC